AACTTCAACTGATCTAATTTCATGATGGATTACTGTTGAAATCCGTTTATCTTTCTTCTCATTCACGTGAGATCTCATCACGAAACTCAAATACTTCAAACAGACCTCGCGCATGCCGCTCGATGTGATTCCTGGATGCGTCAGTCCGACATAATGAGTGGCATGCACCGTGATTATCTCTGTTATACCTTGGATGTCCGGCCCGCCATTTGCACAGCCTCGTGCAAACACATCTGAACGGTGTTTGTTTTCTTCGGATTATGAGGTCGAATGTCTCCCTCCGCTTGTCTCATCATTCTCCTTCCCTGCATTGCGACAGCTGCGCCTGGATAGGGCTATATAGCCTTTCATCTCTACTCCTTTCCTTTCCCGTTGTCCGAACGCTCCAAAGATGTCTCCCTTATGCTATTGTATCCGAAGACATACTTCTTCCTATCTTTTGGCTCCCGGGTTTCCAGGGTCATTTCCCCTTACCATATCGGCGCAGAAGAGCGCAACCGGGCTCCTATTATCGGATTCTACTCTAAGGAAGCCCCAGCCACAAGGCAGATTATATCGAGTCGGGTCTTGCGAGCTTTTAGAGCCCTTCTGGGTCAAGATGAACCCCAACAAATGACGTTATGCTTCTCATAAATCAATTGAAAACTCGATTTGGCGAACGATCAGGGTCGCATTTGAAAAAAAATCAATACCTCTAAGGGGACCTAGTCACGTAGTACTTGAGGCGGAGTCGCAGATGGTGAAGAGATTCTCGGCACAAAACGAGCTTGTCCCCCTCCAGTGCGCCATGCTATTCGAAGAAAAGGCCACAGGCGGCACAAGCCTGCAAAACCTAGCCCTTCCCTTTTCCTCGAACACATCTCCATTTGACTGATCGTTCTCGCGAATCGATTCTTCAGTTGTATCTTGGTTGAATTCAGCTGCTGCGCCATCGGAGTTTGGATTAACGCGCAAGGCCAACGAACGGGGTGCTACGCAGACATTTTGTTCAAAGAGGAACGTTCAAAATCATTTTGTTGAGAACTGGGTCGTTCGAAGCTTGGAATGAGCTAACAGTGAAGCCATGATGAGCTTTCCTTGAAAGGGGTTAAAGGGAAAGACGCAGCGCAAAAAAAAAAGAAAAGACTCCATTAATAATAAAATATCCTGGCTTTGACGGTTCTCTGCGTTTGTTTGCCTCTCTGCATGGGATTGATTGCTTCATCACCTGGGAATTTTATTCAGGCCAATCACGCACTCGAGACCCAGGTGACTTCTCTGCATGCGTAGTTCATCTTACCTTGTTCCTCTGTACGATGCTAAATGACCTCAATTTTGATCCTCTGATTCATGCGAAATTATCATAGCATTAGCTGGGTTTAGCCCACACTCAGACTTAATTACCCACTTGGCCTAGAGCTCCATGGCCTTGAGATATGAAACAATTTGGCTCCAAATTGTTAACTTTCATCGATGAGAATGATGCAAAATTACTTTGGCAAAGCGACGCACTAAATGTACAAGATATGACAGGCATGGCATCTCCTTTCACCCTAGTGTATACTCAAGGAATGAGCTGGCAGGTTTTTAAATCGGATCAAAGTTCAATGAATTTTCACCTAATATACAACGCATATTGTCATAGATATGTCAGAATAAAAGTGTCCATGTCTTTAAGCTGTCGACATCTAGAAACTCGGCCAGTTTTATGCGGAATGGATATGCACTTGTAAAAATTCATGGTGCTCGTTGCAGAAAGGAGTGATCAAACTCTCGTCAGTGGGAAAAAAAGTAACGAAAAAAAATCTAGGACCCAAGGCTGGATGGAACTGCATACCTCCAGGGCTGCCGCCCCAGATCCATAAGATGATAGAAATCTAAATACAAAATGCGCTAAGTTCGCTAGTTTTCCTCGGCTGAAAAATCCGCCTGCTTGTTGCCCGCGGTAGATTCCACCCTCAGGTGACTCTTCATCCCCTAGCGGATGCTTTCAATGATGCTCCGAAAGTCCTGCTGACTTCTCCGTGGTGTAAGTTTGCCTCAAGGGCCTCAGCAAGTTTTTTTTTTCTTTTGGAATTTTCCCCGAGTGATTCCGCTCATTTCCATCGCTTGACGTTCACCCGTGGCATTGACTCGTTCCTTGGCAACCGGTACTCCTCTATTTCCTCATTGCTCTTTCTCTCAGCTTCTATTGTCTACCGGTTCCTCATCCAACTCAAAAGGATTTCATTCTCGCATTGTATGGGCTCCATGCGTTTCAAGATGAAAAGGAAATTATACTATGAGGGATCCCCACTGAGCGTCTCCTCTTTAGGGAGGAAAGGTCTTCATAAATTATGGTCTGAAGGGGATTGACTTGACAGGTATCGACACAGGAGGTCATAAATTTCCCGCTTTTTCAATGCAAAATGCGCGTCTCAGAAACTGAGAAGAGCGACAAAGACTCCTATGCTGCCTGAAGTGGTTATGGCCATTTTTCCACGAAAGGGAGTTGTTGATATCTTAAGCTCTATTCGTGTTCAAATCGGACAGTAATTCATGTACATGTATCCGAGAACAAAGAGATGTCACTTAGATGCGACAAAGTGATAACGTGGCAGACAACCAGAGTGCAATTTGTCAATATCTCAAAAGCAACATACCGGACATGACCACTTTTGGCAATGAGCATTGATGTATATTTTTACCCATCTTGTAGAAAAACTGGATTGTCCTGTTGACTTGTTGGTGAGATGTCCTCATATCACCTGCATCTCGTAGAACGGGGCGAATATAAAAGCATGCAATAAAACAGACACGATTTCCCAACAAATGATCCCCTGTAAAGCCCAGCAGCGCAGGATTAGGGTGTAGCAACCTCGATGAAGCTGGATATTATCATATTCAGAAAGTATGAGAGTCCTTTATGCAACAGGGTGTTGATTCTTATTGATGCTGGTTGATTCGAATCTCCTGTTGATTTATACCGTAGGTAGCGAATCTGATGATTCTACATCGCCCTGATAATCACCATAGAGCATCATCGCCATTCATTCCTCGACGTTCCAACGAAATATCAAACCTTCGACCTCCTTGAGTTGATAAATGCCTAAACAGTGGTTATCCTCGTCTTCCATTAAAGGGCAGCTTTCTCGGAATGATTGAAGAGACTTGGAACTCACCCTTCCCCTTCTTCCTCTGTAGCTCCCCGGGGTCGGAATTCCTCTTCATATTTGAGCGCGGTCAGCAGCTAGAGATGAGAGGAACAGAGGGCCGCATGCCACAGGTGCCGTGCCTGGCCGGGGAATAGGGAATATCGACTGCTCTAGGCCTGCCCCTACAGGAGGGAATCCAGTCGCGGGAAGAGAGAAGATCCAGGAACCCAGGGTCTCTATCTCGGGCACAGGCGCAGCTTCTTTCCTTCCTTTCTTCTCTGCTTCTTCCATCCAATTCTCCTTCCTTCCATATTCTCTCTTAACTCTTTTTTTTTTCCTCGCCGTTATTTCCCTAGCCGCTTTTTTTTTGTTTGCCAACAGCGATGGAGACTGGCAGAAACTTGTTGAACTGACGGAACCTCGTTAGGTTAAAGAAGGAACACTCGTATTAGCATTTATTTGCCACCAGGATTCCATGCTCTCGTCAGCTCATGAATAATAAATCCATTCATTCCATGGTAGTTCTCGTTTAATGTCGCCTAAGAATGCTCTATTCAGGCTCTTTCGTGTCGTGGCCTTTCCCCTTTCCCTCTTCATTGACTTTTCATTCAACGGGGAGAATCGCGCCGTACCTCATTGATTGGGCTATACATATGGCTACATAGGTATCATTTTACTATAGTTTTCATCTATTACCTTTCATAAAGCATCGAATCGAGGAAAAGGAAAGATTTGAAACAGATTTCCTTCGAGTCAACTGTATACTCCAGGCAAACAGCCAGGAAATTTTAATGTCCGTGATATTTGTCAGATCCCGCTTCGGCTATCTGAAGTAGCATCCGTCCGACGTGAAATTCCTTAGCACTCGTGGTTTCCCACTCATCGTATTTCGCAAGGATCTGACAGCAAGAAATGTGTCATAAAAGTGCACATGTAAACACTTTTCATAACATGATGTTATTCTCCGTAAGACATCGATTTCTGACAGAGTGCGCTTCCTTGTTGCCAGAGAAGCGGAGGCCTCGTGGAGACGGGGTGTCGTGCCATGGCATGCACTATAGACTGTATGTATTAATCTGGAAAGGAGGCTTGACAAAGAGGATCGATGGATCCGGCTACACAGCCTCCCCCTCATTCCTTTTATTCTCATTACCACAGCAATGACACTCGAGGAGGAACGTTAATCAATCTCGTGGTCAGGGACTCTTGGCTCCATTATCGCACCCCTGTCCAAGGAATTTCTTTTCCTTATGTTTCCTATCCAGAAAATAAAATCCAGCCGAGGCTGATGTGGTTTTTTAGGCGTCGTCTCACCATAATTCCCGATTATGAGGCATTTCTCCATTGAATTTTTTTAAAAGGGAATTTGGAAATAGTTGGGACTCCGAAATTTCATAGGACGGTCTCTCATCAAAAACTTCTTTCTGTTGGGAATGAGAGGGATTCCTTTCGTTCATCAAATCTGTAGAACGTAATGGGAAAGCAGAACCTCTTCTATCCAAGCAGCATTGCTGTCATGAATTAAGGACACCCTCTTCAAAGACTCGTACTTCTGCTTCCTGCTACGTACTGATTTATGAATGAACTTCTCAATGGGGGCGGATGGAAGGCTTGGGGAAGAGGAGAAACTGGAAGGTAGGACCCTTAAATTTTTCAGCTCAACATTCCGTGCTTGCACCTCTTCCTCACCTCTGGCCTGAGGCAGGGTAAAGGAACTCTTGATCCCTTTTTACCGTTAACCTGAAGACCATCAGGTTTTGTCTCTGCTTTGCCGAGTCAGTCAAGAAGTCAAAGGATTCATACTCGACAGAGGGTACTGGCGCAGCGATTGGAGTGTTTGAGGTCAATTAGAGAGGGACCATCCGCCTTTGAAGAGTACGCAGTTCCTCATCGATCCGGATCGACTTGATCAGTGGGTAAACTGGGATAGTACCCCGGCGGGATCCAGCTCGGGCTGCGGTCCTTTATCGCCATTAGTGCCTCAGCTGCTCCAAAAAGCCATACTCTAAAATGGAGTTCCACAGAATTCTCTACGCATTGTGAAATAAGCAGTGGATGCTTCCGCATATCAAAATCTCTACGATATTAATTTTATTTAAAAACAGTCTAGAGCGGGATTAGCCGCTTGGAAGCGGCTGACTGTTTGCAGACTGCATTCATTGTGGCTGGTCATAATGGCGATGGCTGTTAGCGGCTGAGTCTCCCATGCGTTTCTAAAAGTGTTTAATCTTTGGTTTGGTAACGTAAGGTGTAGGGAAGCTTCCTTATTCTCTGGATCTACCGGTTCTCGTATGCAACAACCATAAGCACCTGCCTTCCGGTTGGCCAGGCCCACACCTGCTCAGAGAACCCATTGGACTAGATCCGATAACACATATATTATTGAAAAGATAGGAAAAGGTTTTAGTACCTTGCAGCTGACGTTGTGAGAAGTACGGTTCAACAGGCTCACAAAGAGTCAACGCATAGACTATCTATAAATGTGATAGAGATGGCGCTATTGTATAAACGGCTGAGGAGGTAGGGTTGATGCAAGTACATTAGTGCCATTTCGTCATTAAATTTGCATATGAACTATAAATGGCTTCTCCATCTCTCTGTTTTTTGTCCTTTAATGGCGAAGGCTTTCAAGGAGGATTAATGGAGCATGGTGTATCAAATGCAATTCGTCTTTCCCTCCGTCTTACTTTCGTGGGAGTCATACTTAAAAAAAGCGATACCAGCTCACTATGATTCTGTCTTTCAAATGCCTTTTACCCGACTGCGTGAGAAAAAGCACCAGGAAACGACACTGAAGTAAAAAATTTGTCTATTCTCATTCAGCAAGAACAGAAGACATAGGAAGAAATACTGGGCAGACGTTCACTTGAATCGGGCTAACGAAGAAGCAGAGGGTCCTATGAACCGCTGTCGGTTCATATCGTTTTGGTCTCTATGCATCCTTGTCAATCACAGGCGAGTGCAGGAAGTAATAAGCGCTTCAGGAAACCTTGCACAGACTCACTTCTTGAGGCGTTCTATCTGGAACAAGCAACACAATGTTGGCATAACGTATCATCATGGTGATCATTCAGGAGCATCAACAGACTCGAGGGTTTGCTGCAAAAGAAATCTCTCCTGTTAATGAAAGGGGTCAGTCGTGACATATGAGGAACTAGGGACAGTAGATGTCTCTGCAATTGGAACTTATCTAGTCTGAAGGTTTGCATCTATCCTTCCCAATACAGTTCCTTATCAGTTCAAACCCATTTCATTACTAGAACAGATTGATGTTTTCCAGTGACTTACTCCATAGCAATTGCACAAGGTGGTGCACGTGTGATTCGCAAGTTCATCCTCAGCCACCTTCCTTTTTCAAAACGAAAATAATTTTTCCATGTCTAGAACATTTCAAAGACCACGAATAGCCTTGAAACAATGACGCGTCTAGGATATCCATATCCTAGGATACAGTTAATTCCCCCAATTAACCACAAAGTTTGTTGAGGAGGGAGGGAAGACACAAATATGGTGAGAGATGATCGCAGTCGCAATGGGGTAGACGGGGAAACATCACTGTCTTGAATACATAATAGGGTCTACATTAGTTCCCAGACTAAGAGGGAGGACTTGGCAAAGGAAAAGAAGAGGTCATAAGACCTATTAAACATGAAAATGTGACTGAAAAAATGTCATGTTGATTTATCATTGAGTTCTTTTGTGGTGGTGGGGCGAGAAGCGAAAATTAAATTAAGCGAGCGAAATAGAAATAGAAAACAGTTTGGGGAAACCCAGTCGAGTAGGAGGCCTCCTTTGATTGCACTCCTTTGCCTTCTTTGAATGGCACTGAAGAATTAATGAGGATATCGATGAGAAGGGGAAATAGAAGATATCAAGTGTGTAAAGAGGGGGGGGGGTTTGGGCTGGTTGGTGGTTTCGGCAAAAGAGGCACGACCATACATTCCACTCCGTATTTCTGCTCTGGTATAGTTTCCGATTTTAAATTTACTCAAATTTTCTACAGGCCGAAATGTATTCCGAACCAAGTAGATGTCAAGTCTATCCATTACCGGTAATTTCTAAGTTAACGAAAACATTTAGGGAAGTTTGAAGAAGTACTATTCTCACAAAACGTCAAAAAAAAGCATTGCACTCATACATAAACATCCGTCCGATAGCAAAAGGAAGCTAACTTATTTTTCAAACAGGATGATCGCAAAAGATGCAATGTTATGTCGTCGGGGAACTCACTGGTTGGCGAAATCCCGTAGTGTTTCCCAGGAGATTCCCCTGGATTGAGCAGCCATTCGAATGCTCTCTAGCTCCTTTTGCTTCTCCATCAAGGATGCCTGGTACCGGTCCAATTCCTCCTTCTTCTATGTGAACAAGGAAAATGAAGGATGTGGGAGGCAGGTAATTTGCATAAGAAACTCAAAGATTGGAGCATAATCCTATCTCAACAGAAAATCCCTCTGTTGCACACAAACATACACACACACACACACTCTCTCTCTCTCTCTCTATCTATCTTTCTCTCTAAAGGGATTGTTTTCCGCTCCTTTCTTTTGTAGTTCCTTACGAGGGATTTTAGGAAAGATTCGCCCACCTCTGCCACTATACGCTGTCTCTCTTGGAGCAACTTTTGGATTTTGTCGTTGGCAGCAGCCAACTGGGATCGTTGTCTCTGGCATTTTTCCTCAATGCTCTTCGAGCGCCCTTCATCCTCCAGCATCACAGTTGGGGGAACTGGCGAGGTTTGACAAAAAACCACATATAATATGTAAGGTGTTGCAACTGTCGACGAGAGTTTACTTTCGAGTCTCAGCAGATATTAAGCGACCATAAAATAATCCAGAACTTGTAAAAGCCGGAATATTTTTTTTACACTCCCTTTCAAGGTTGTGCAAGGTTTCCAAGTTCAAGGTTTGTAGAGGATTGGTATGTTGTGTTATGGCTCCTTTGGGGCATACCACAATATGACCAAGCATCGTAATGAATAGGAGCATTGCTATCGATGAGAACGTTTTGGCTGTTGAGATGCAACCCTCTTTCGAACGTCATCAATAAAACTATTCGACGAACCAGGTATATGCGCATTCAGAAAGCTGATGATCATGTTATGGTTGATTCATCAAATGAATCGTCAGGGAATATGATCAAATAACTATGAAGTAACGTCATTCGTTGAAGAATTCCACCGTGCCATCCTTTTCTGACGACTGACAACCAGTTAGTAAGAAATTCCTTGGAACGTGCCAGTGAATTTTGAGACACCCTGTGTAGTATTGAGCATCAACATGTCGCAAGGCATTTCAAGAAGGCTGTGGCAAGAGCATACAAACGAGGACGTCTTCAGAAAGAGCGAGTGAGAGCTAAGTGCACAGATTCATTCTCATGCCGAAGCCAGAGCTGGACTCTACTAATAAGCGCTACTAAAGCTAAGCTAAGCTAAGCTCTTGATTTTCGTCTGCTTCTACTTCGTTGACACTTGTGGAGGGAAACTCACACTCAGGATTCCCCCTCATGTCGTCGTCGCAGGAATCGAAGAGCTCGACTCGTAATCTCTCTGCTCCAGAGTAAGAAAAATATCACTTTCGGTATCAAGTATAATTTTTTACGTGGACGGTAGTGTTTCGCCTTGAGGACCTATAGAGCTGACAGTCGAAATATATAGCTAACGAAATAAAGGCTGCAATTCCACTCTATTAATGAGAAAATTATAATTTTTCAGCATTTCGCCAACGAGAAAATGCATAATTTTCACAATTTACGGGTGGAATGTAGTTGAATAATTGAATAGTTGAAAGAAAATCATTTCCATCAGCTTTCCTCAAATGTAGCAATACCTCCAATATTGTGTATTGCATGATAATCGTACAGAGGCACCACACAAAATTCTCGGCATATTAAATTTAAATTACGGAATCTTATCGAATGCCATTAGTTGAAAAGCTTAAACGAAAAATTTTACATTTACTTGTTCTTGTTGTTCTTGTACTTGTTCAGGTACAGGTAAGGTACAAATTTTATGTACTTAGAATAGAGACAAATCCAAAATATGAGCCGAAACCCACTTTTGCGATTTAAAAAATGTGCTTGGTTAAGGTGTTAGAAACATCCATTCTTAGAAAGCATTCAAATTTTCTCATCATTACCCACAGCAGCTGTATAGAAAAGCTGTTCATTGAGAAATGAAACATGAAACTGGAAAAATCCAGAAAAAAGAGTCATTTGTCACTCATAAGACGAGTAATACCTGCACTCCGCAATCATGATGGCAATGTTGCAAAATTCCCAAGGGAATTTTGGTCTGACAAATTTTGAAGCTATTATCATGTACGAAACTCACGTAGGAAAATTATGCATATGTAATTATCCTTATGCTTATAAATTATTCTCTTTAAATTTCAAATTGTCCTCAAAAACGAATGCAGAGATTTCAAAACGGTTTTCATGTTCCAATCGACGATCCTTGTAATATCGAAGCAAATAAAAGCAAAAATACCTTGTTTAACTATTTTAAAGGTGCATAACATCCATACCATCTTAATTCCATCAATTATAACGATTCGCTCTCCAGGCTTTAGTTCGCATCTGTAGCATTTAGCCTGGAGGAATTTCAAGTACAAACGCATAAAAGGAAGCTTATTCGAGGCTTATCACCAAAGCTTCCATTATGTCTCTTATCGTTTGCGCCTGAGTTACTGGAAATTGGTTCTGCCCTCCCTTCAGAAATCTCAAGCACGAATGAGAGCATTCAACAGCTTTGAATGAATGCCTCTTCGACCTTCTTTTACCGGGTGGTGCAAAAGAAAACGTCCGCTTTGGAGGCATTATGAAACCGATTGTAGAAGTACTAGATTATTCATTCCTTTTTAAATCACAAGGAAAACACTCAGTTTTGTTTTCTGATATTCTGGTCGTATGGATGTCATTCTAACTTGAGTAAGAACATTCTGATTTTCCACATGACTCTAACTTGGTTTCATAGAGTCTGTCTTTTATGGCTCCGTTCTCGGTACAGTATAATTGACGGTGTAGGGTCTTCAGACCTCAGCTGAGAAAGGAAAGCCAGAATGTGAAGAAGGTCTCTTTTGAATAGAATTATCGGAGGGAAAGGAGTCGAAAGAGTTTCCAATCTAATCATGGACTGTGTTCTGTGCGGTCTCTTCCTTCTTCGGCTCTCTTAAATACACATCATTGCAGCGACAGTTTCGTGCGTTACCCACGTCATGATGACGCTGAACAGCGAAGAACACTGCAATAAATATTCAACCATAAAAAAACAGCCTTTTGGCGAGTAATGAGACACATGAAGTCCACTGCTGAATTCACTGCAGCTCGATAAGTGGAAAAACCAAATTTTAAAATTGCAATTCCAATTGTTGCCCTTCATCCAAACAACAAGGAGATATTAAAATTTCAGGAAACAATTTGAGTGCTTTCTCTGAGATATAAAATCAATTACAAACCTACCCACATACAATTCTGCAGTAGGCTTTCTAAAGTGTGAAACAGAACGCTTCGATTCGCCACCCGATAATGCTTGGTCCCATTGTATTTCATCAAGACGCTTCTCGCTATCATGTCTGACCTGATAAAGTATGGATTATGTATAGATTGAGAACTGCGCTTGAGTTGTCAAAGGGATTAGTTACCGTGAAAACAAGAAACATGGCATGATAAGGGTTTGCTTTTGTCGTCGTGCTTTTTTAATGCAGTGTGACATCATACGGGTTGTCCATTATTGCACCCTCATTTTTTTTTCACCAATTACTTCGCCAGCTTCGGCATCCAAGTTAAAATCTAACTGAAATGGGCCCTTATATACAGCTGTGGTCCAGGTGGAATTTTAAACTAGGCGGGAAGTCGAGGAAATTTTCCACTCCTTATATTAAATATCATTTCCGGGAGAATCCTGGCAGGGGAGTGAGCCGATGTTTCGGATGCAGGATATACGTCCTGCAGATACCAATGTTTTCAAATATATTTCTGAGCCCCTTCCATTGCACTTCAAGACTATGGCGACCTGCTGGTGAAGTTCCCGGCCCTTTGCAAATTGCATCAGGGTTGAAAGAGTTCCTTTTTCTCTTCTTCTCACCCACTCATGGGAATTCCCTTGGAGAGAAGGAAGTAGGGAATCAAAATCAGTCTCGTAGTACTCACCTTTTTCTTTGTCGTGCTCCTCCCGGATTTTCTCCACTTCCTCTTCGTGGGCCTCGTCCAGTCTCTGCAATTTGCGACGCAGCTCCCAAATATCTCTATCCGAAGTGGCGCGAATGGTTTGGAGCTCTTTCGACCATTTGCTCTCTTTCTCCATTATAGTCCGGTTCAGTTCCGCTATCTACGAACGAATGCCAGTCGGTCCATAAATTTGATGCATTGACGTCATTCAGGTGCTTCCTCCATATGAGTAAACATTTATATTGCAGAGGATGTCTCGTAATCCTCTTTTATGCGAAGGGAACACCTGAAGTGCTGTCGTCACTGCCAAAAACGATATGAAACAGCTATGCAGTGTCCCATAAGTCAAGCATCATGGGGGGAGGGGGGGAGGTTTCACATATTTTGATATGTTATTTCTGTATGTTTTTTTTCTTCAGGTTTCGAGTATTGAAACTGATAGAGGGAAATGTCTCTAAGCAAGGACGGACGTGTGAAGTTAATTTTTATGTGTGGGACAGACAGGCAGTCAGCGAGAGGTTGCTGAGAGGTTCAATGATGACAATCCGGATCGGCGGCTAATACAGCAAAGTTGAGGAATGTTCAAGCAGAATGGTAACGTCGCCTGAGAAAATGCATCGAGAGTAACGGCCAACATATTGAACATGTTATAAATTTAAGTTTTAAATGTGAATTTTCCTATGATGCTTGACTTCTGGGACACCCTGTAGTCTCCTATCATATGGAACGGAGAGAGAATAGAATGGGATTGAGTGGGACCTGCTCTCGGAGTTCTCGTTCCCTCTTGTCGCAATCCCGACGGAATTCCTCCAGCCGCTGCTCCCCTTGCAGTCTCTCTGACTCCACGGCTAAGTGCTTTTCTTCTTGATGCAACTCGTCCAGTTCCAGTCGTAATCGACCGCATTCGCGTCGCAGCTTATCTTCCCACTAGACAGATATGGGGGATTCGATGAGGTCCCGATGCCTCTTGTTCATGGCAGGCATTGAGACTTCATCCTGACACTCACTTCGGCGTTCAGTTCATTCTTAGTTTGGACCAACCTGGCTTGGAATGCTTCCTCTTCTTGCTTCCGGATTCGGCTCGGCTAGGGATACAAATAATCCCGAGTACAGAACGGCCACGGTTTATTTGAGGGAGATGAGGCTGGTGAGACTCACATCATGGAGGGTTCGCAGCCTTTTGATTTCTTCCAACATCGGCCTCTCGTTCACTTTGAGTTTTTCCACTGTATGAGAGGCAACTCGGAGGGCACGCTGCTGTTCATGAACCAGACCCTGCAACTGCCTTAATTCCGGCTCATACGATTTCAGATGCAACACCTGCACAAGGAACACGTATTGGTTTCATGTTCTACTTCCGTATCGACTTATTTTTATTTTTCTTTCTACGTGGCCATAACGCCGTTGCCCCCAGACTACGTGACAGGGTATTAGGCGCATTAGGTCGACCTATGAGAGAAGGCAGGTGCAGAATTTGAAAAAGCTCCAACCAAGCAATTACGGGGGGGCTCACCTGTGCCATCTGCTCCTCGGCGCATCTTTTCAGCTCCCATGCATCCTGCTTCTCCTTCGACAAATCTTGCTCCACGACCTGTCTCATAGTCTTCAATCTACAAGGGACAAAAATAGGAGAGGAAACTCTCTTTCCACAGCCCCTCTTCTTCAGAGCTGAGAGTTTTAAAGGCGAGTACTAACTTTTCCTTGATTTCTTGTTCCTTTTCGAGGATCTTCTGCTTGTATCCTCTTTCGATTTCCCGGAGTTTCCACTCGAAATCGTCCATCATTTGTTGCTCTCTGGTCGACGTCATGGTTCTCACTGATTCGAATCTCGCCTGTATCTCTGCCCTCTCCGACAATGCCTCTTCCAGTGCCTGGGAACAAGAAATATTGTAATATCATCCACCCAATGCCTACGAATTCATCGATCAGATGACGAGTTTACTTCTTGTATGAACGACAGTTCGGCCTCTCGATCTCCATCCAGAACCTCCTTTTCCTTCTTCAGTTCTTCCAGCTGATCCTGAGTACTTTTCAGACTTTCCTCTAATTCTTTTACCCTCTTCTCGAGTTCCTCTTTCGCGTTCTCCGATTTCTCCAGTTCCTCTGAAAGAAGATAAGTAGCAACATCGAGATAGAGAGCCAGCGTGGGCGCATGTTAGGATTGACACGAGATACAAGGTGGAGATAGGGGACGATTCGTGTCATCAGGAGATGGGGGAAGGATGAGAGGCAATCAACGGACCCTGTTTTCTTTTGAGTGCTTCTTGGAGCTGATGGGTTTCGATTTCCAGGCTCTTGAGCCTAGCTGCATCTTCAGATCCGCACTTCCCTTCGTGCTCGCCTTTCCTCTTCAGCTGGGTCTTCAAATCTACCGAAATCAACACCAACCCATCAGTGATTCCGAGGAACGAAGTGCGTGGGAGAGAATGACCCCTTTCCCTCCCAAATTGTACCTTCCATTTCTTTGCGCGCCTTTTCCAACTCGCGGGAAAGCGCAGCTGTATGGTGAGTCCTTTCTTGGACTTCTCCTTCTTTCAGTTCCAATGTCTTCTTGAGTTTCTTGATCTCTTCGTTGAACTTTTTCTCGCTCTCCACCTTCTCTTCTCTCAGCTTCCGCGTGTCGTCTTTTTTTCTCTCTTCCCTAAAAGGCAGAAGAAGCTGAGTCACCAAATTGAATCTGTTCCAGCCATCCCACGCGAACAAAGTGGATGGATGGACAAAGAAAAAAGAGAAGACAAGCTTAACCGCCCTAGCGGAAGGGTTCCAGGGAATCAAGAGCAGGCTAATACCAAAAGGCAAGGAAAATGGGAAAACAGCCAAGTCGTGAATGAGATAAGCTACCCAAGTTGTCCACGAATGTCCTTGTATGCTTTTTTTTTTTAAATCCCAAACCACCCTTGCCGGGAAAGGTTTCCCTTTTTTTTTTGAAGATACACTCGTCCGGATTACCTGGGGGCGTCCATGGGCGCACAACTCTGAACCGGAAGATTCGAATCTGGCTTCACGTCCTTTTCATCCTTTTCTTCCTGCTTTGTGGGCAAATCGACAGCGACAAGTTGAGTTAGGACATCTGAAGGAATGCTCTTGATTTCGTTTAACGGTCCCGGGAGATCGGTCTGGACAGTCACTGTCGGCACTTCGGACTCTTTCTTTTGGATCGAATTCGACTCCTGCAGAACGTCCTGGGATTCCCGGGCGGACTTCGATCTCCGTCCTTGAGGAGACTTCCCGCATTCCTTGTCTAGAGTGGATTGCTTTCCCGCATTACTGCCTGCCCCTTTCCCCTTCTCCTTCTTTTCCGACTCCTTGTTGACATTCCGTCGGAAGAAGCCGAACATTTTCGCTTCCCTTGATCCATGCCAGGCTTCAAGAGCATCCCTGGCCCTCTCTCTTTTCACCCGACATCTTCCAACAGTCAATCGATCAGACTGTCCGATCTGTATACATGCATTCGTGGAAACTTCAGACTATGCAACACCTATTCTGGACATGGGGACTCGTGTACGCGAAGCAAGGGTTCGTTACCTAGTCTTAAAAAATAAAATTATCCTATCTTTGATTTCGATCTGCAGCAGGAAAGCACACCCGGCACCGACTAGGGAATGATACAATTGAAACAGAAAATTATAGAAAGAACACGTGTCACGTTTGAAGCGAAAGAGATAATGTTCTCATCCTCGCCGGCACTATGTAATGACGCGAATCCTCTTTCATCTCCGATTCGGTTCGAGGAGACTGAACAAGGTAAGAGAATCGAAAGACAGACAGACAGACGAGAGGCATGAGCAATGACACAGACGCACACACTCGTACACGTACAGGTAGGTAATAGAGAAAACACGGTGGTGCAGGAGGCAGATCTCGAACTCAAGTGACACGGAAGGCGACGGGTCCTAATTTTAGACACCATGCAATCCGTAGCCTCTGTATCCACCCCTCCCTCCCTCTTTCCCTTTCTTTCTCCTCCCTCTCTCTCCGTCTTTTACGTCATCTCATCCAGTCATTCGAGCCAGAGACGGAGCACTTATGAATGAATCAAGAGGTTCGCCCTGGCGTCGCTCCTTTCAGTCGATCTTGTCAAAGTGTCCATCACCTCTTTTCGTTTCTTCACCTCCTAGAATCAAAAGAAGTGCTTCCGGTCTGACGACTTCAAAGCAGAAAGAGATGTAAAAGCAGTCCCTCTGATGCGAGGTTTCGTGCCTGGAGCGATAACATTGCCCTGGTAAGTCTCAATCGCCTCTGAGGCAGGTGTGTGGCAGAGGTGGTTAGGGACGCAATGAATTAGATTTCCTGGAAACCCACTTTTGGGACAGAGCCAGACAGGTACTAGCCGACGAAATGTCTTCCTGCCGTTTGCAACCAGGGGGGGAGGGGCTAGATAAACACAACACTTCCCCCTTTTATTTTAGTTCGGGCCCTGAATCTTTCGTCACATTAAAGGCAGCAGCTGAACCTTCCAAGCACTCGCAGGTGGAAAGCCTTGAATGCAGAGTGATGTGAAATACAATCGTCAAAACGAATATGGTATAATTCAATTCGGTTTAGCGTAGCGTGATATATATGACCGCACACCCCTGGTTTTTACGTTTGCACAAAATCATCGCAAGGACTGTGCCAACATCCCCAAGTGACTTTACGCTACGGTCCCTTTTCATCTCGTGCAAATGCCAGTTATTGTCACCATTTGAATCCACCCTAGCCCAAATTCATTTTCTCGTGTGCAGCTCAGCAGGGAAGGGAAACACGAGGGAAATTTGAAGATCTGTAAAGATAGTCTAGAATTCCGCTTGACAACGCCCAAGACAGAAAAAGTTTTTTTTTATGAAGATATAAATTGACCTTGTAATATACTGAATCGCCTGTTCTTGCGGACTCGTGCACGAAAACTTATAATTACTCAGTATGCAAGTATAAAACTGCTGTAATTGCGGGCTGCACTGCTCCTGGGGATTATAATTTCTTTCGGAAAGCACGGTAACATCGTGTATTGCGTATAGTCGTCAGATAGGTTGTCACAAAGCCATTATGAAGATAGTACAGATGCTTCACATGGTGCATTGTTTGGTTCTGAGGCTTATTATACCTCATTATATTATACAAAACCTATTATAGAGCGTGAATATCGACATGAGGCAGTCGCATCTACTGAAGGAAAATTATATTAGGATTAAAGTGAATATTTATATTTTATCACCACGTGGTCTTCGCGTAAAAAGTTGCATGAAGAATTACCCGTAGAACCAAAACTTTTCCACATTCCATCCCGTAAAATCGAAATAAATCCTCAGATCATCATCTACCATTCCTCATAGACCCCCAAATTTAACCCTTCGAGCGGGTTCGACGTCACCGTGACGTCCGTTATGGTATATCTGCAGCGGTGGTAGTCCGCGACAGTGACGACCAGTATGGTAGTGTACTTTTATGGCTTCTCATGGATAGGTATGGTAGGGTCTGGAGAGGAAGTCAACAGGTCGACCATCAGTAAATCCACCCCTTGCTAGACTGATAAGAGAGACACTTGGCGGAACGCATACCACCGATGGAGCCACACTGAAAGTGTGTTGTTTGAAGTAAACAGGAAATGAGGAAAGAAATTATGTGGTCGTGCCCTGATTGCGATGCTGTTCTCTGTAGAGAGGAATGTTTTTAAATCTACCATACACGGCGGCACTTTCAACATATGAACTTCATGATAGGTTTTAGTTCTCTTTGTTTTATTGTCATGCAATAAAGTGCTTATTTTCATGAAACAAAGTTAAGTGGACTTGTTTCTTACTTGATGCTTCAATATCTCATATCATCAAAAGTAATTGAAATAAAATTTGCTTAAGAGAAGGTTACGCTGTCGCGCGAGACTAAATAAAATATTACCGCCACAGAGAATGTTCCGCCTTCTTAAATGATCGGCTTTAAGGGTTAAATGCTGATAAAACCGAAGGTTTCTTAATTTATTAATTCAAGGTTTGACCAAATCTTCGTCCGACATCCATCTCTGTGGAAGTGATAGAATGAGCCACATTCCTTGGAATTTCATTCATGAAGAAATGCGTTAATACTAGGTTGTTACATTTTCCCGTTGTTTCTCTTTCATCAGCGACAGTTTATGTTTGTGGTATACGTGCCTAGCGTTGCTGTAGCCTCATCAGGAGAGGAAACAGGCAGGAACCGCATGTAAGGGATGATTTTGAACGGTTCAAGTTTTCGCGAAACGATCGCATCGGCTTCGAATCACCTCGCAACCCACAGCGGTGCTTGCCCGCATCCCTCATCGGTCATTGCAGCCTGTGTGCTGAGTTCTGGGGGTGGTGAGGAAAATGCGATGGGCTGGACAGGCTCCGCTCTTCCGTCTCCGTTTGACCTTGACCCATGTTTTATATTCTAGCGCCGCTTCCCATCCGAGAGTCTTATACCAAGCATTTGCCACCAAGATTGAATCTCGCCTTGTCTCATCAAAAATAATTTCGTTAAGGAGGGAAAAAAAAGTTATTGCATGTTTCGGAAAGGGAATGACCCAGAAATATAGTAGTGGCAAGTTTATGATTCCAAACTGAACCATGTGAATTGAACTAAGTAAGAGGTTAATAGGTACGTTGCTTCTTGAGTCTGTGGGGGGTGAGAGGGAAGGCTCGGGAAGGGGTCTGGTCAAATCATAGGCGCCTATATCGGGTGTTCAAAAAGTCACGTAAAGAATATGTAGAATATCAATTCGTTTCATAATCTGATAACTGTCGGTTATTGGACTTTGGTGTGGTAACCACAGCTACAACACCAGGGATGATGTGGCTGTTAGAGTCAACCAGTTTATCAAGAGCATGTATTGGTTCGCAAAAACGAGCGTGTAAACATGATATATGATAGTCGACAGTTGAAAATATTGGTCGGTTTGGATGACTGATAAGCAAATCTTCCATCTGTCATAGTGTGCTGTTCTTGCCGTAAGATGAAACCAGTTCGATTCGTGCTTTTGGAGTACATTGGGCCATTATTTACCTAGAGAAAAATATATACTATTTTTCCGATTCTACTATGTTGTGCTACTTACTGAACTCTATATAGGTGTTCCCATATACTGTACAAGTATGAATGATAGAGGAAAGAAGATGGAGAAGATGCAGTATCACTTCGGTAGTCTCAATATTCGACTTAACCGAAGAGCGGGAGTCCATTGACTTTTCAAAACTGCCATATTAGCAGTACCGCCAAATCGTATCCTTCAAAAAGCACAAACATATTTTCATTACGTAATCGATACGAGAATATGCAGATGGGAACGAGCAGAAAATGCCAGGGCGCAAGGGAATGAACCCAGCGGGTGACATCTCCTTCAAGGCTAGAGAATAAGAATGGCGATGAGGCAAAGAGAGCACGCAGGAAATGAAAGAACTCCTCTATCCGCTTGGGCCTTGGGGGCAATCAGGACTCGGCTCTCTCGTGTTCGTCATGAGGCTTGAAGGCACGGGGCTTCATCAAATGATGAAGCTCCGGAGAGTAAGCTCTATTCGGCTTACGCCCGAAGGAAGATGAACCTGCCGAACCGGCATCCCTTGCGGGGAGTCAACGCCTGCAGGATACCGTTTTCTTCTCTTCAAGTCTCCTCGGCTCGTATTTGCTGAGGAATACTGTATATTGGGAAGAAGAGGAAAAGAAGAGTGAGGGGAGACTCCCCTCATCCATGATTGATGTTAGGCCTCCTGTGTGGACCATTAGTTGCGCAGCTGATTCACCGTGTGTGTTTTTCCGTTTCTGTCGTGATCACGTGCGTCTCCAAATATAGCTCTCAAGCCAGAACCGAGATGAGGTGAGACCAGCTGCGTTTAGAAATATGATCATGGATCCCGCTGAATTCCACTGCGTCCCTTCTCTTTCCTATTTATTTCGAAATCTCGGACAGTCTTAATGTGTACAGAAAAACCTAATGGTTTCCAACAGGCAAGCGGCTAATGAATGAACTAGTCCCAACTCGGCTTTCTTAGAATGCATCGTGATGAGGGAGGGGGGGGGGGGGGGGAAGCAATTAAGGGGGTCTCACAGGAAGTAATGAGGCAATGATGCGAATGCGAAGACCAGGGTCTTACTTCGCCAAAGATAAGAGCATAAGACTTGCAACCTTGATGGTGATGAAAGCCTCCTGCGTGGGTCTCATCCGGTTCATCTCGCAGTTTTTAGGCCGTCCTTTCAGCAGTTGAATATTAGCAGTTTGGCGTGAGGCCTCCACCCGATGACGTCAATTCACGGTGTATGAAGATGATCTCTTCCGCAGTGCCAATGTAGACTACCCATTGACTGGAGCCAAGAAGCCATCGCAATTCGACCTTGCCCTAACCCTGACTCTCCGCATTCCTGCTTTCCGCCATTCATGCCATTTCCAGTGCATTGACATGGGTTTCCACTCCGCCACGGATGCTCCCGTGGAATCGGAGCTGGAGCGGGAATGTCAGGAGTCGGCACACAAAAAGCGGGAAAAAAAAGCTGGAAAGGGAAGCTTGCGAAATATGTTTTCGCTTCCCCTCTATACTTTCCTTCTCCATCTATTTTTTTCTTTACACGAGAAGCAACCGGCTGTTTTCCGAGTAAGAAAGATGAGCGGGCTTGGTTCAAGGGTTCGTCTTTCAGGGAATACGGAAGCGAGTGAGTGAACGCACATGCACCCTCACTCTTACCTGCGACTCTGAAGTAGATCCAAAGGAAACAACTGCAGTCACACTTCCCTCACGGATCGACGATTAACCGGGTCGCGAGGCGCGCCACGGACATCATCACGCGCACTGGCGATAGGCAGAGATGGAGACAACACCCAGCTCAACTGGGCTCTTTTGGCCGAAGCCGAGGGAGAGTGTCTTCGAATTATTGCCCGATGCGTTTTCCCCGCTATACGTATGAGACCCCGGGTACAAAAATAGACCCCCATTTTGGCTACTCGTCCAAGGATAGTCTGCCGAACAGACGCAATCAGGGCTCAGCTGCCCATCCTTCCCGTCCTGCCACTCGCTTTGCTCTATTTTCGCTTTCAACCCTTTATCATTGGCACCTAAGCCATCCAATGCACGGATGTCTAATGCACGGATGTCTTTTCTCAACTAGACGCTAAAATTTGATCTAAACTGTGAAAAAATTTTTCTTGCAAGGCTGAAGGATGCTCGAGGAAAATAAACGAAGATATCTGAACGTTTCCCCCTGCGAATGACAACGAAGCTCATGTACCTGAACTTATTGATGATCCGCTGTATGGAGCATTGGAAGCAGAATTCTTTGGTTCCATCGCTATTTTCTTGCATCTTGACCTTAACCTGGCATCTACAGAAGCCTTCTTCCGCAGATTTCGGGAGGTTGAGCAGGGATTCCAGCTCCTCTTTGGCCATGGCCATCTGGAATTCGAGCGTCTTGCTTCTGCTCTCTAGCGACGACATTTGCAACCGAGTTTCTTCTTGCTTGTCCGTGAGGTGTCGCTCTAGCTGCGCTCGCTCTTGGTGCCGTTTACCCTGGAACCGAGCCAGGTCCACACTAGGAGGGAATCCTCTTAGTGATGATCTGACGAAGTGGGAAGATAGTGATGATGATGGACGTGATGGGGATGACTCACCTGACGGCTTCCAAACGCGATCGGGTGGAGGTCAGGGTCGTCTTGAGCCTCTCTTTTTCTGCCATCAGCGTCCGGAGTTTCTTCTCCATTTCGCCCCGTTGGACGAGCCAGCTCTCTTCTCCCTTCCGCCATGAATTGCTGACATCCGTGAGCCTCTTTCGAAGATGTTCCAGCTCCCGGCCGTGATGGTCCTTGAGAGCCTTGGTCGTCTCTTCGTGGGCTCTCTTGGCATCTACCAGCATCCGCTCGGCCTCGCGAGTTTTCGCCCTCAGCTGCCCGTTCTGATAGGCGTTCTTCGTCGTCAGTTCCTCAGATTTTGCCTGAAACTCCTCTTTCATCCGTTTCTCGTGTTCAGTCAATCTGGAGGAAAATGACGCGGATTCCAGGTCAGGACATTCATTAATGAGTTCAAGTCCAACGTTTTTAATTTCATCGTGAATATCCTACATGTTGATCAAGACATAAGAGTTCTGGTGATGAAAGATTGAGATTTTACCCCAGTGTCCTCACCAGGAGGTGTAATGTAAATATACACTACATGTACGACGTGAGTACCCTTCAGAAATTTTATGCAACAGAAAAAACTCTCATCTTCGAAACATTAGCAAAGGTCAAACGTCGACTGAAAACCGAACGTGCTTCCTCCGGCAGCACAGCTGAACCTGACCCAGCCATTCAGATGGATTGTTTCACCATCTGGAATGGAGCCAATGCTCAAGTTGGTGCTTGCATCTCCTCTGCATGTCCGAGAGGAAGCGAGGCAGTGTCTCCCACGTGCCAGAACCGTAAATAACGTGGCTGTCTCAGGTTTCCCAGTCAATGAGTTTGAGTTGCGTAAGCATTGCGGTTTCAGGCTGGAATTTTCCGTTTTGCGGGAAATTCGAGAATTAAAGTCAATCTTTGGCGGAGCGTAAGCCGCATGAACGAGATTGGCAATGATTCCATTTACGGGTTTCCTGAACAGTTGTTGCATGACATTGTGATGGTCCTTAAGAAATCCATGATGTTGAAACCAACCCACAAAGCATCGTCTCACCTCCTGTTCACATCCTTCTGCAGCTTGTAATAGTTCTCCGTAACGGTTCTCAGGTTTCTCCGCAGCTCTTCTGTCTCCTACTAGATCGATGGAAAAACGGTGAATAAGAGGATGCAGCGAAATTAGTAATGAAACGAGAGATTTTGAGCCCAGGTTTTCTTTTCCATCGAAATCAGCACTTTTGTTTTGCATCGGGAGAAGTGCGAAAGCTCTTCTCTCTCTCTCTCTGCACTTCTTCATCTTACTCTAAGCCAAAATATTTAAGATCAGACATACCTTCATCCTCTTCTCTAGCGAGGCTTGCAACTGCAAAATATCTTCCTCCTTGGATTTGCGGAGCTTCTCGAACTCCTCCTTCGGAACCCAGTCGAGCTCCGGTGATTTTGAGGAGAAGTCTTTGCGCTGTAGAACACCTTGTGCGTATTTTCCATTCTGAAAGGGGTAGTACCAAGGAGAGGGAAGGAGTCCCTTGGATGATGTGGGTACCTGCATGAATTGAGAGAGTTTCCTAGGCGCTCCACCGTGATCCACGTTCCCTGCCGCTTTTGTCGCTTGCTTCTGAGGCGCTTTGGTCATGCTTTGGGATGATGAGGCAAGGGAGGCGCTGGACGTGGAAGGACTGGTCCCTACTTTCGTCCTTGTCGAATACGACTTCGGTCGAGCCGCCATTCTTCCTCTCTGTGCTGACTCGACTTTCTCCCGTTTCCCCGCTCTCGAAGCTCCCACAGGTTATTTCCCTTCGTGGACCTGCTCGAAAGAAATGGACTCATCCCGACGAGATCTCTCTCATTCTTTCTCTAAACCTAACGGGAACAGTTGCTCCACCATCTCTACAGTACTTTGGATTTTTGCGTCTGAGCGATTCCCTCTTTGTCGGCAGCGAGATCAGGGATTCCATTTTGTTGAATCCCTATTGTTTCTTGTTCTTGTTCAAAAGCTTATTTAAAATCTTAATAAAAGATAAATAAATGGCGGAGACTCACGTCCTCCTTGTCGAATGAGTTGAGGCATGGACGGCACACAGTAGAGAAAAACGACCCGTAAACAGCATGCACGCACACACACCCACTCTCGTTCTCACATCCCTTGTATATACAACTACATCTATATGCACGCACATTTATACACAGGAACAGATGGAGGGGACGAGACATGAGGGCAGTGGATAAGAGGGAAGCGCATGGGACGGAAGGGCTTGGGACAGTCAGTACTCTGGGACGGAAAAGCGTAATAGGTTAGTCACATTCAGCGTGGGAGCTGCTCCTCAATGCCAAGTTCTATTCTTGGCCATACTTTCCCTTACCTCTTCTTCCTTTTTCTTGTTCGTCCAATTGGATAGCCGATAAATCCTGCCTTGCCTTCGCTTCTCAATCGACACAGTAGTGTAGGAAGTAGAAACTGCGCGACTTCTCACCGTTTGCACGCACTTTGCGTAGTACACATTCTCTGGATGAGGCTTTGAAAAATGACCTGTCATCATAAGCGTCAAAGAAAAGCTTTGTCACCGAGGGACTAAGTCAAAAAGGATTACCTCTCTATCTTCTACGCGACCGCAGAGGAAATCCTCTTCACGAGGCATGATGAAGATTTTGAACTTGGACAGTACCCTCAGATATTCAACGTCAATTCATTGACCTCAGAAAACGAAATGATTCTCTGAAATATTCAATCTTCGCAAACTAAATTCCTGTAAGGGAAAGAGCGGGACTTATTGTTTCCAGTTCTGTTCGCCTGATGTTCAAAATATTCTACCAACATGTCGATTGAATCATGGATTGAATCTAGAATATATTGAATTTAGATTTGAATCTAGAAATTCAACACAAATAACCGCAAAGTACTAAGCTGAATCGAAATGCCGACACAGAGAATGTGAATGAGGAATACAGCGCTGAGCTTAATGTATTGCAAGCGTGATGCATGAATGTACAGACAGCTGCAATCTTCAAGGCCACAGGTCTGATCCAAGGGCTCGACGTCAGTGGCGGCTGCTTGGCCTTACGTATCTGAGCCTTCATCGGCCATGAACCTGGTAATCCAGCGCATATGTGCAGCAAATGGTTTGACAAAACAACAACTGCCGATGCCGTTGCCATGCAGGTATTCTATTATCCCGCTTATCAGAGGACACACTGGAAGATGGGGAAACATGCACGCATGCAGTGCATGGCTTGGGAGACAAAGAACGACGAACACGAGGTGAGGACCTAGTGGGAGATCTCAGGGGGGAAAGAGAATTGGAATGGGATTGGGAAGGGGATTGAGAGGAGGGGTTGGGGATTGAGGAAGATTTCCCCAGTGGGCCTGGAGGAAAAGCTTTAGCGCCGCGACTAATTTAATACTTGAATGTTCAGTGAGTAAAAATAAGTTTGGGAATCACTGCCTTAGTGGGTGGGTTTGTCGCAAAAGACCTGGGTGCAAGATTAGCAAGGACTGTGGTTGGTGGGCAACGCACAGAGACGGAGAGCGTGGGGGGGGTTAGAAATCAAAGGTGTAAAGACAAGGAGGGAGTTTGAGGTCAAGGCGGCGTGGAAGGTCATGGGAGCATGTAGATTCTAGGTTGTAGGTCGTTGGTCTTGTATCGCATTATAAGTTTTCAACCGCATTACTGTCTGTGTCCGCTTTCAAAACTGATGTAAACTTCCTCGACTTTATTAGATGAGAACTCGTTCACATTGCTTTTTATTAAATTATGATTGACGTATAGTAGATGTACGCATGTAATTAATATACGTAATATCACCATCTGCCAATGACATTGGTTATGCGGGTTTTCGCCTGTTAAGGCGCTGTCAGAGAAGCAATCAACATCTCAATCTAGCTGTTGGTGAGCGTCTACGTTATGGTCGTTAGAAAAACTATGAACTTAACGATCGAAAGGTAGAAAAGATTAATGTTGATGATTTATCGTCCGCTCGCATCATCTTTATATTCCTTACTAAGAAAAAATTCTGCATTTTATGTGTTTGCCCGAGCTAGGACATTCCCTTTTTCCCTTGGTCATTCGTCATCATATTTTGCGATGACGGAATTTTGTGCATCCTTGGAAAGCCTGGGACGAGTTTCCAATGATTTGCAACTTGCTGACATCGCGACAAGGGATAAGCAGCAATCCGGGAAGAAGAAAGGACTCGGGTCAGTTTGAGATTGTCAAGCGAGCGGAGAGTTCTTTTTTTTTCTGGAAAGGATTATGATTGATCGAATACGTGCTGATGCATAGGTGACCGCTCGATTGACGCAGAGATCCGAAACCGCAAAATCGTCATCCAAACCCCCATAATCGACCCCCATTTGGTCCATAATCCCAAGAGATCTTCATGAATTCGGAAATTACAAAGAGCACTGAACTTCAGGCAGTCGGAAGCTCAGGGAATTCCCCATAAAATGAACTTTCCTCCGCACTCGTACGTTGAACTCCTCACACACTATCAAGTCCTTGTCCTGAAGGGATCTTCAACCCTTTCACGCATGGTGTCCACTATAGTGGAAGCAAAATTTTTGGCGATGATGATGGTTTTCTAGAAATGGTACACATACCTCGAAACTTTTGGTGTATGCAGTCAACTCAAGGGCACATAATCTCTTCAGTGTTGCTTTCTAGCAGTGAAACATGCGACTACTACGGCAGAGTACCTTCTTCAACGTTAAACTAAAACAGGCATATTTTTATTTTGCTCAAAAAATTCATACGTGAAGGGGTTAAATAAATTTTTGAGTATATATTTCACTTGCAGGGCCACGTAGTTGCGTATTTCATATTAAGGCTATTTATGATTTTAAATTCACCGAGATTCGTCTTGATCATTCCTTCTAAATCCTTGCGGATCACCGAAGTATCTCATTGGCTCTCGTGGATTTGTAATTTTCGTATTCGATAAGTCCTCACCGTTGTTTCGGTCCTTTGGAAAGCCACTCTCACTCGAACAAAGGCGATGCTCTCTCGCCGTGAAGCACACAGTACAGTGCAAGGTGAAAGTGGAAATGATTATTTCCTCCCCGACAAGGTCCAGTGCATTCGGCAACCCTGCCATTCACCCTGCGGTTTCGGTATGCGTGCTTCTGCGGTTCTCACCGGTTTTTATCAGATGTCAGATGAAAAATTTTGTGCCTTTGGATTGCAGTCAAATTTGTTTCCTTGTTTCGATACGGATGTGAAAATCGCACGCTCAAATGTGAACGTTATCTATTCTAAAAATATTTATTCGCATTTCCTTCGTAGGAATGTCACTCCTTCAGAACCGTAATTTCTCTCCAGTTAATGGGAAGCGCCGTGAAGGAAGAGAGAAACCAGATCCCACTTTCGCAGTCGCGCCATATTAGAACGTGCTCATGGTGGTTTCCCTCTTTAATTGCTTTTCCCGCGAAGGCATGAATTTGTCACGGGTAGAAAAAGATTCCACTTTTGGTATGCAGAACAAATTGACCCTTTCATGGCGTATGGTTATTGTAAGGATCATGTCTTTTGAGACTGCTCATGCGTTACTATACTTGGAAAAAACCGGTTTTAAGTTGTACAGTTTGACAGCTGTCGACGAGGGCTATTTGCGGATACATCCTTTGTTCAAGCAGGCTGTTGTTCAGGCATATTAGATGAAAAATAAGGTTGTGAAGAGAAATTTTGAAAACAATTTCCAATATCATCTTAATTCAGCCATGAACGGGTTAAGAACCTGCTTATCTCCGAGGAAGAAGGGCAAAATTCACAGCCTTTATACAGCTATTCCGACTGGCAACGGAGAGCTTAGCTGAAGTGGCAAGGTACAGATGCTAGAAGATGCTATAGGAAAAGACAATAGAAAACACAAATTGCTGAGAGTAAATTTTGCTACAAGGTTTCAAAAAACTCCGTTTGAGCAGTTGCAACTTTTTCAAGTAAAATGCTGATACATGGACATAGTTCGGACTGCAAAGTGCTGCCTTCATTCACAATTCACATCTACTTGCTGATCCTCTCTGTTGAATGTTCCTCTGTTTCTCTCAACAAATAGCCGTGTTATAGATGGAGCACGAGGGACATCTTTATTTTTTAACTCTCCAAGTCTGTCTTCACCTATAAGCTGTTCCTTACACATACAGTAGATATACCCCCTCCCCATGCCTAAGGTAGCATAATTCGAAGCACATTAATCATCAAGATTATAATACTTCATAATAAATGCGACATGACCAATTCCTTTTTTCCTTTCAGATGAAATGGCAGTGAGGAAATTATTTTGTTGACGAATACAAGCCATTGCAGCTCATAAATCTCATGATGGGTGAGTAGCTCTTAATCATAGTTACAAGCTTTTCTAATCTTTGGCTATCCTAAATCAAGAAATAAAAAACTCGTCCCAGTATCACGGGGTACTTGAAATGTGAAGGCTCGAATTAGATCAACAATCGAACTTTCTTACTGTATACTATCTAGAGAGACAAAAAGACAAACATTGCAAACAGGGTCAAGCGGGATCATTACGTAAGAGAAATGACATTAAGAATTCTCCCCAGTCGATGAAACTGGTTTCAAATCCAGATAAGTCTCTGATCTTGCTCCATGTATGCCACGTGATACAGTGTCTCACGGCAGACTTGAACAAATCCTAGGTGACTCACGGTCGTGCATTAAGCCTTGCCTGCTCAAATCATTAGGGTTGAATAGTCCCTGGCGAAAGGAACTTCGCTCATTCGGATAATGGCATGATTAATTACGCTTTTTTTTAAAAGAAAATATGGCAAAGAAAATAGCGAGGTAAAAGAGTTTCATACTCGATTATGGAACAGATTAGTTTCCATTCAAGGATCTGATTCTCATGAAATCAGTTTATCCCATTCTGAGACACAAGTTGGCCTAAAATTCTACGCAATCCTGGAGAATTCAAGGCTGACAATAGCTTCCATAGATGGCAGGAAATGCTCAATCAGAAGTATGTTCCAAAACGGATTATGACGTCCGCTTCATGAAATTAGATCAAATGGGGCTAGTATGAGTAATTTTTTAAACTGGACGAGGCTCATCCCCACGAGTTGAAGAATCAATTAGCTTAGAGTCAAACTAACCTTGATAAACCTATATTTTCCTCTTTCTTTTCCACAAGTGATGGCATACAAGAAATATGCCAAGCTGAAGCCATCCCTTTTTGCCTCGGCCACTGAGGGATGTTAGGATTTCAACCCGATTCGCGTCGTCCGCTTTAGTAAACACACTACCTTCGTGGCGATTCGAGAACGGTAATCTTGATGGAGCCCTCATTCATACTCCATGTCTGTCTTTTCACACCCAGACTTCAATTCGCAACTTTTCATCATCTTTGATTACCATTTCAGAATACTTCTAAACAATTTACAACTATTTCCAGCTCTGTTGCATATATAACGATGTTATGAATGTCAAAAGTTTGTTCAGGTTAAAAAAAAAACGATTGAGAAATCTGAACCAGACAATTAGATAATTCCAATGTTTATCTGGTGTACTCCCAAAGCTCTGCACAAAGATCCAGTGGGCTTGAATCACATATATTTCATTGATGCACAATTTATTACAGAAATCTGTCATGCTTTGCATCATCTCTTTCATATAACAAAAAGAGATGTAGACACATTCTGAATGCATATTCAATCATCTTTCACATGAAGGCTCAAGATGGCACAGACTATCAAAAGAGGGTGAGTTCTCAGAGAGGACAGAATGCATAAGGCTAGCAATAACTGCAGAATTGAATTGGAGAGCATCACTCTTCATGGTTCATTCAAGGGACTTGAGATTCAGTCAAGTCTACAGCCAGGCTCTAATGCATATCCAGAAATGACAGTGAGTCAGACTAACCTCTCCATTGAAACATGGAATATAGCTGAATTTTTGTGTCAAAATGTAAGAAAACTACAGGAGTCAGAACAATTCGAGGTAGATGTCTCAAGATGAAAAAAGCATTCACCATTTTGAAGAAGAGGACAGTCAGAATGATGCAAAGAATAATCTGTCATTCATGCACTCAGTCTATACAAGTGTGAGACATGGTACCTCGTATAATTTCCTCACTTTTTGAGCACTTAAGAGCACATCTTGCCCTCCACACACATTCATTCTAGAAATCATACTAGAAATCAAGCGTAAATTGCAAAAACATCAAGACAGACAATGCAAAGTTACAAAATTCTGGCATAGGTCTCTCTGCACATATCACAATGGCAATGCACCACATACAAGGCAACAACTTTTCTTATTATATTAAATATTAAGGGACAAATGAAGAAGACCTGACAATGCACCAAGAAGAGAATGGATCAAACTTCACACATTTGAACATTGCCAGCAAAGCTCAAATGAAATTGTCCCTACCCCAGGTGAGAGGTAGACTGAAGGATAGAATGGCATGAGCAAGAAAGATGGCATTCTCAGTATGACGTATATGATGTGAAATGATCTTCCTGGTACTCCTATGCTGTTTCCTTACTATCCAGCAGGGACTGTTACAGAATACCAGACAGAAGCAGAAAAGCTGAAGCCCATATGGGCATGAGATTCAACAATGAAAGTCAAATTCAAAGTATCTCCACTAATGGGAACTGACAGAACACAACCGTTACAGGAACCAAATGGGGTCAATGATGATGGGGTACATATTAAGGGAGACTGGAATCAGTTTCACCAGAGACCAGATAACAGTAAAGTGCATAACATTTCTGAACCATTTGCATGAAGGCAGGCACAAATTCAGACGCCTGTCCTCAGCTGTCTTTTTTTCTTTGCCTTTTGAGGACAGAGTGGCTATAGGAATACCTCAGTTTCCTTCTTTCTGTCTTTCCTTTTAAGTAGCTCCCTCTGATCTTGCCTATGGCAGAGCAGATTTATGACAGAATCCCAGGGAGTTTCTGACACATGGGAGTACTGACTGGGCAGCAGATCCTGACCATGATGCAAAAAACAGGTGGCTCAGCATGTTGTGTAAAGAGAGATCTCCATGTAGGATGTGGGAACAAAACCTTCTTCAGATTTGTCCATTCTCCTCACACGTGTCCAGCCATCACCTTGATCAACTTCAACAATGTGGACAGTTTCTCCAGCATGCATTGGGATTGAACCCTCACTCAAAGCTGCAAAGAAAAGTGGAATGCCAACTGTGAAGTATCTTATGCATCTGGAGCTACTGATGGATTGATAGAGGGATTTTTACCATCAAACTGATACAGGGCTCTCCCAGTTCCCAGGACAGGGAGGGGGTTAGGATCTTCATAGAAGTCGATCTCATCTTCCTCTTGAGGAGCATCAGGGTCAGAGTCAGGGATGGACATGTGACTAGTTCCCAGCCCTGATTCTCGACTGTTGTTTGACCTGCCAAGAGTCCAGGTGAAATGAAAAATTTCATTGCCTCTAGCATCCAAAGACATGATCTGGTTATGTACCCTCTGATCTAACAGGACTGTTCCCTGAGAACATAAACATTCAGACTACTTGTTATCTAATAACTTATTAGACCTACTACATATTCATCAGGTCTTTTTTTATTTTATGGTTGGTACAAGTGGATCTCTTGACACATTAAGTTCTCTTCTCTAGTCACACTCTTAAATCAACCAGCAGAGACACATAACTTCTCACTCTCAAAAACAAGCTGCATTGCATTCCATGATTAAAATGAAGGACTGTGACCAGGACCACTGACAACTTTTGGGCAATAGACAGCAAAGCACTTTCATAAGATTTAATAGCATCCTACAAAGCATCGAGGAATGAGTGCACACAATGAAATTTTCAATTGGGAAGATAAACAAGTTCAAATGTTGAACAATATGACAAACAGTATGAGGAAGGGAAGAGCCCTGCACTGAATGTACAGAGCACTACTATCCATACATACATGGCACCCAAGATCAAAAATCCCATCTTCCATGAGTGGTATGTGAATGTATGAACAGAGGTTCACACCAGAAAGGTGTGAACAGAGGCAGATTATAGCTGATCCACAGCCACCTACTTTTGGGATATTCCCAGACCAAAACCCACAAACAGTGAAAGAAGAACTCAACTCCAGGTATGGATACTGAATGAATGAAGGAAGGGTGGATTAGGATTGATGTGCCATAGCATATGACACACTTTCCCAATGTGGCTGGAGAGATTCATTGTGAAGAAAGGAGAAGACCATTTCCAGAACAGGTACAATCAGTTTTAGAGGGAAAGAAAGAACTTGAAGGATCCTTGGGACAGAATCCAGCACTACCTCAAAAACTACCACTTTCCTCCACCAACTATGACCCTGCCACAAGTAGAAGCAATCTGTCATCTGTCCACCTCAAAAATGCTTTTCACAGTGCATGAATTTTTCATTGTGTTGTATGATGGATGAATATCCAGGGATGGCCACAGCTGACTTTTCAACTTCTTCAACATTCCTTACTAGAAAATAGCACTAAAAGTTGCGAGGCAGACTGATGGACAACTCAGGGTGAGAAGTGATAACAGTGCCAACACATGCAACCCATATCCTCAGGAATTGAAGTGCACCATCATGGTAGTTTGGAGAGAAGAACATAACATAAAATGGCTTGTACCCTTGAGTCCATCCATTGTCATGTTCATTCTGAGTCCTGAGTCCATACCGATGTTGATTCCAGGCTGAACCATTGCAGGTCCCATTGATTCTCAACTGAGACCAATAGTGAGACCACATAACACCGCTGTAACATGATCAAGGTTTTGTGAGAATGAAGGGCATACTTCCCATGCAGACAGCTTTGCATGAAATTCATATCAGCTGCCAGCTCATTTTTCAAGAGGGATGGTATCTCAGGGTCAAATTATCTCTTAGGAGCTTCCACATCCATATTTCATGAATGCTATAAGATTTCTTCTGTCAAGAACAACTCTGATTAAACAGTTTTCTGGGAATCAGAAAATTTTGATTTTTTTACTTGTCACAACCACTGTCCATCATGAAGGCATGTTTAGAATTTGGTTTCAGAATGGAGTTGCATTTTAAATCATGAAGCATCACCTGCTAACTCCTCAACAACTCATTCCTCTCATGAGAACATACCCTTATGGTAAAAACCACCAGAAAACTTATCTTTGATCAAATGTGTATTTGTTTGCTGCTATTCTTATGCTTGTCCTGAACTTCTGGATATCCTCTAATGCCCTGACCCACTTTTCACCATGACAAGAGTGAAGGATCCCTTCAGAGTATCTTATGTGGTAGCAGGGAAATGAATGATTAAAAGTCAATGAGACTGGTGAAACATGAGCAAAGGATTACAGAAAGGAATCAATACAAGTGAAGTCACAAATTGACAAAGACCACTGAAATAGGATTCTGCATATTAAAGATATAGGACCTTCATTTTCCATACCTCTTATTAAAGCCTTACTTTTTCATGTTTCATTATTGATATCACTTTATACTGTTTATCAGTAGACTGTGAGTTATGGCATGGCTGTTGCCTGAACATGCTAAATGCTGGAAAGAACATACAAGGGAATAAAAATTAAATACAACATTCCACTCCACCCCACTCCTCCATAACCCCAGAACGAAATTCCGCAATTCAAGATATTTTCAGTGGAACTCTGACTAAGACATCAAAACAGGAGTGACCTAAAAAAAAAAAAACCCAGTAGAAATGAGACTTCCTAACAGATCCTTCTTGTACTGTGAGCACATAAAATTCATACTCTCAAAATATATACAGGGCGAGTCAAAAGTCACTAAACGACTTTGAACAGCTATATCTCAGCAAGGAAAGCATTAATTTGCAAATGGTTTTAAGCATGGAAAAGAGCGTGCGCTAATGAACAAATTGCAAAGTTTATAAATAAAAAAAAACATACATTTATTTGGTGTAAAAATGATTGTAATTACTTGCCATGAACACCATCAAGCTCAATAACACAAGCCATCACTGAAGGGTGTGAAGGGTAACTCCAGCAATCCTCTCAGTGATGTGTTGCTTCAGTTCATTGATTGTGCATGAATTTTCAGCATATGGGGTAAGCACCCTGGTTTCTGGCCAGTCTCCAGTTGTTGGCCAGTGAGGCTTAAATCCAGCATAATTAGTTAATTTGGCCATTTTCAAGCATTCTATCAACATCTTCCCGTACGAGGACCTATTACTAGTGTTTCCCGGTGTGCACACAGGGTGTCCACTTCCTATGGGAGTTGTATCAGCATGGCCAAAAACTGGGGTGTATACCCTACCTGGTCTTTAAATGAGATCCTGTAGCCAAAAGTTGAGTAGTCAGGTCCAGTGACCTGGGAGGCCACTCCATAGGCCCAACCTGGCCTATCCACCTGTCTTCAAAGCAAAACGATGCTTCACTTCAGAAAGATTTCCTTCACTATTTGAGAAGAAATTAAGGATAGCGACACGTTCCTCCAAAGAAAGTTAATTGGCATTATCAGAAAAATATTTGGAGCAGCAAAAATTAATAGAAAATAATCGCGAATGTCAGGTAAATTTCGGGTACATTGTACCCTAAATATAACTTTTATGTTGAAAAATGTTGCTTTTCATTTTGTGCAGTCTCATCCTATTTCATATTAGTATTTCACGCAAATTCCCACATTGTTTTGTCAATTAACGCACGCATATGCGAGAAACCATTTGCAAATTAACACGTTGGCAACAATGCGTCCTGATGCCAGGATGCAGATTTCATTTTCAATGAATACCCTCTGGAACTGTTGAGAACGTTCCAGAAGATTATGATTTCGTAATTACTGATAAAAAATTCCAAAAAATTCAACATTAAAAAAAAAACTAGGCAAAAAAAANCAAAAAAAATGTTTTCTGGGACCATGCGTCCTGATGGCAGGACGCATTTTTTGAAAAAAAAAAATGCACGTGGTCCCACGCGGCGGACAAGCAAAAATAGGCTGGTCGTCAACGTGTTAATGCCTTCCTTGCTGAGTTATAGCAGTTCAAAGTCATCCAGTGACTTTCAACTCACCCTGTATATCAACAAGACAGCATACATAATCTGACAGAGTGATGGTGCAAGAATATGCATAAGAAAATTTAGATAAGGAATAAGGGTACTTACATCTAAAGAAACAGAAACAAAGCTCTATTTTAAAAATGCCTGCCATCCTTGATTATTATCCCAAGTCAAAGATGAGTGAAAATGCATGCACGGATAACTTCCAAAACTTGATAGCACTGATATGCCAACCAGGATCCTAAAAATGTCTGCCTTCATTATCTGAACAACAGCACAGCCAATAATATAATTAGATAAAGCCAGTGTCCAATTCAAAGTTCCAATCTAGAAGTAAATAAAAAATTCACAAATGGAGGCTTCAGTTGCATGATGACAAAAATCTCTACTCTGACAATTGAAACTGATGGAAATCTTATGAAGCTATATGTAAAAACAGAGAAAGAGCCATAAAGATGTCATATTTTTATCACAATAACCAGCACTTACCCATGAAGGGAGGTTTGATTGGAATTAGATGGATTTTGATTGGAAGAGGCAGGATTAGAGACAGATGAATCTGAAGCACTTCTACTCAGAGATTCCTGATCTGAAAGGCTGTGACGGTCAGATTGATGAGTTCGGCCATTGATATGATTTGTGAGCCTTGTGCTGGGATTACGTGAAGGGGGCTGGTTGCTTGGGAATGGGACTTCATCCAACATAGTCTGATACTGCTGGAGCTCATGTCGCAAAAAATCTATCTTCTTTCCATGGTGTGCTAGTTCTCCTGTCAGGGAAGCTGAATCACCCATGGCTGGATTGGACTCATATACCTCCTTCATCTTCAAAATCCCATCCCTGTGCAGATGGGGATAAAGAATGCACTATGTGTAAAGCATTCACTGCTTCACCATAGCATGAAGGCCCCTGCAAAAAGCATCCAAAAATTTGCCTTCCATCAGGAGTATCAACTGCCTACCTGGCTGCTGTTTCCTGTTGGATCTTTGCTGTCAATTCATCTATCCTCTGTTGAATCTTCTTCTTCCTCTGGTTTGGAGGCAGATCTGCCCAATCCTCCTTTTGGTCACATACAGAATTGTAATGGTTCTGCAAGTTGAAACATGAGGCTCCAACATTTGGCCAATGATGTGAAATAAGACTAAAGTTTCAAAATTATTATGGCATTGCTGACTTATGAAACCCTCAAAACATTTCATTTATTTATTGTAGGATCATCCTTTCCAATACTTGGGATCTAACAGAGGTTAGTATACTAACTGACCACATGTTAAGACCAGATATAGCAAGGTAAAATGACAAACATCATGCATCACAACCCAGTGAAATTAGCAATGATGGATACTAACTACTCGAGAACCAGTTATTTAGCCCTGCAATGTAGTTTCAACTAGTAGTTCACTAGTTTCAGAGAGTTTTATGACACAAATTTCTTTCTTATGATTTACATAGACCAGTTGAGGAAAACAGGCTTTAAAAACAAGACTCGAGAAACGATGACTCTCCCTTTTACCTTCAAGTTGCTCCAACAATATTAAAAATGGGATCAGTTTAAGTGCTTCAACTGATTTGTGGCAAGAGTAGTTGCAATTGGTAGTTACAGAGAAGTAAACTAGTGTTAAAAATAACTAATAACTGGTGTTCACCATTAAAACTTAGACCGGCATACATCTCAAGCAGTGATTAAATTTAACAAAATTTCCGAGTGGTTCAAGGGAAACCTGGATTTTCCATCCCACATATGGCAGCAGTGCACATGGATCCATGAAAATGTTATCACAGATTGTGTTACATGTGATACAAAAGTTTTCTGTAGCACCACTGACTTAAATTCAACTTCACATGTTAAATTCAAGATGGCACCTACCTGCATCAGTGTGACAGTGTTATCCTGCTTAATGTATTAATAGCATAAGGAGAAGTGAATCCTGCTGAAATTCATGGTAGCCTTGCAGATAAGTTTTGTGAATCTGCCCTATCAAAGTGAAGCATAAAGGACTGGTGTTTGTTTTCATAAGGGGAGGTGGCACACAGGCAGTGCAGAGTAGTCCTTGTGCATCTTCCATGGTGACCTGACTGAACATCACTTGAGTGAATGATAGTGGTTTGTCATGAAAAGATGTGGAAAATTGGAGAGCAGTTTAGGAAGTGTGGAAACAAGATTCCTTAAGTACTTGACATTATGGAATGTGCCACAGCCAATGGCAACCAAGAACCTGCTCATGCTTTAGCCATGGTAGTGCAAAACTTCTGCATGGAGTCAAATAACCAGTTCAAAAGTGAGGAGAACAGCTTTTTAACTTGTTCAACTGAGCACCAAGCCATGATCATGAATTCAGATCCTTCAAACAGTGCTTCAGCAGTAATCAAGGGCCAGCTTATGTCCTTCAGTGGGTTCAAGGTCTACTCAAATATTTATGTCCTACAGTTATCTGGGTACTCATGAAAGGGATGATGCAAATGCATCAATATAGTAGACAAGTACTCTGAGAAATTGGCTACATTTCATTAATGTAATTTATCCTGTTGGATCACAGTACAGTCGAACTCGGTTATAACGTCATCAAAGGGACCAGGTAAAAACTGTCGTTATAACCAAGGTTGCCTTTATTGGCACTCCGTTTTCCTGTTTTCAAAAATGATGCTAATGTTACAACTCCAGTTTACATTGGTCATACTACACTAGCTTCAGTTTCAAGATTGTCCCACAAATCATGTTCGTACTTCTTTGGTGGACCTTGAACTACTTTATATTTTAGCAAGGCTTCATCAATGTCATCTCAACAGACCTAGGAAGTTTCTTGTTTTGTGACATGTTCTTGTAAGCACGGATGAAGCTGTCACAATTTTCCCAAATCGTGGAAACAGATGTCCATGTTCGCGAGCGACATTAGCTTCACTTCGAGCTCTTTCTATTAAACTAATCAAGCACACTTTCCTTTCAATCATGAAGGCTTGCCTCTTTCGTTTTCCATTGGCCACGTTGTCAATGAGAAATGCAAATGGCAACTGAAGATAAGGTGATCTTAGTTACTGGGTATTATCCCTCCTCAACATTGCTCCAGCCACGCCCACATGACTCTCAAGGAATGCGGAATCCAAGAAATACAAAGTTATGGCTCACCAATGCTAATTTTTCCGATGATGGAAATTTCAGTTAAGAATGATGGATTAGGGACAAAAACATTGTCGATTTCATCTGTGAGACCTTCAATGGACTTCGTTATAACCAAGGTTTCATTATAACTGAGTTCGCTATAACTGAGGTAAAATGTAATGTGCCTTATGGGCTCTATGCCAGGACCTGGTGCTTTTGTTGTTATAACCGAGGCCATTATAACCTATGCCGTTATAACAGAGTTCGACTGTACAAGAAAGTCCAGGTTTCCCTTGAACAACCCTCATATCTTTCATGAGGATACTCTCAAGATTCTGACAGGGATATTACTCAAACAAACAGGATCCTAATTGAGATAAAAATAATAAAAACTGACTCAAGTCAGCTCTGGATTCCTACACTGACAACTGATTATTTAAAAACTGACAAGCTTGTAACTACAGATCTTAAAGTTGGATTTTACCAATAAAGTTTAACTCCCATCTCTCATCACAACAGGATGGGTTATTCCTTCAACCTTTAGCCCAGCCAGACAAACAATTCAAACAATTTTAGATAAAACTTTAATTCCTGCAAGATTATGATGAAGGTTGTGAATTTGGTTACTAATCCACACATCTGACAGAAAAACGCAACAACTGGAGTTCATTTCCTGTTTTCTTAATGATATGCATTGATGCATTCTGGAGGTTTCTGTATGATTACAGCTTTATGGGGAGTTTCAGATGAGCTGAGTGAAATATAATATCACTTACTGTCTATCATGCTTAAGATCTTATTATGCAGTTGACTATGCTATCACAGAATACCTCAGTCAGGCATGATAAGAATTACCCATTGTTGAAATTGAAATTGTTTTGATTGCACACTCTCAAGAAAGTGTTCTCTGGTGCCAAGTCAAAAACCAATAATATGCAAAATACCAACTACAACCTTTTGGTTGTATGTGGAATGTCACATGCAACAGTAAATTTTGGATTCTCTTATCACTGGTCATAAGGAAGGAGGACACAAGGAATAGGGAGCATGCTACCAGAATATAAGGACATGTCCAAAAAAAAAAAATTTTCCTTCAAGGTTTCCACTTTCTGAGAGGGGGAAATGAACAGGCATATTCTGCCTCATCATTTTATGTATCAAGGCACTCCATTCAAGCCACTCCATGAGAGCAATTCAGGGAACATTCAGGTTAGAAGGGTCACAATCATTTCTATGCTGGGAGAAAGGTTGAAGTGGTAACCAACACTGTTCAGTTCTAGAGCATGAATGCAAGAAACCAAGGGGAAGACTGCAAAGAACCAACAAAATGACTTACATGTCATACGAGGAGTGCAGGGGGGTATAGGCAGGCACCCACAAAACCATGTGAAGAAGAATCAGAAGGCAAAGAAATAGTGGGAGGTGAAAGCAGGAGAAGGACAGAGAGAAAGAAAACACCAAATTGAGGTTCCACCAACAGCTATCACTTCAAATGCATTGTTGCAATAACCAAGGATGCCCCATCCCTTTCTTTGATGTCAAGACACAGACCATCTATCATATCACAATAAGGGACAATCACATCATTCTAATACTATCTCTTAGGGCATTCAAAAGGTCCATCCATGCAAAAAAGTTCAGTTGCTTCCTTCATTGTCTATTTCTAGAGTCCTGAAACCAATAAGATGGTGCCATGAACATAGAAAAAATTGCATCTTTTACTAGTTTTATATTTCATCACTCAGAAATTCTTATTTGAACCTTGATATTACAACTTCCATATCCAGTTACTGTTCTCATTTTACTTCACACGAGGTTCTGGCACTGATAAGGATACACTCATGACTATGCTCAGTTTGCACAGCATACACTTAATACAATTGATAAATAATTATGATTCCCCCAGTTGGGTTTAGTCATTGAGTCAAAAGGGATAGAAGACTCACCTTGGCGGATCCAAAAATGCCAAAGATGCCCCCTCGCTTCTTCATGCGCGTGGCACTGAGGGTACCTCGAAGGGTGCGGCCACTCTTCTTCTCTGAATTACCAGACATGTTGATCTTCTCTTGAGAATTAGATTCTGAAGCTGATTGATACTCTCCATTTTTCATAGCACTCAGGTCCTCAAATGGAATGTCTTCGGGGGGTGTAAACCCAGACTTATACCTCTCGACGACCAACTTTGAATCCTGCAGAAACGGAGACGAAAAACCAGGTTCTCATTCCTTCGAAAAGTATCAATTTCATCAATTCATGCAAATCAACTACATCTGCATTACTGAGGAAGTCGCATCAAGAAAAACGTATTTCTGGCATAACTATAAATCATACGTATACTTGCTATACATCTGCTTCTCTCACCCATTCGGGTAGGCGTGATCTCCGAAAAAAAAGGAAAGGGTTAGGTACAAACGGTTAAAAATGAGATCCGGGTCTCCTGAGTTTGACCGTGCCAAGAGTACCTCCATATTCAGCTCCTTGAGACAAAAGTCACTGACTCTGTAATCGGACTACCCAGAATCTTCCAGCGAGCCATAACGCTAATCTGATGATCTTGACAGAGGCGTCAACGTGACTGCAAAACATCGCAGAGGTGTTAAAAAACAAAGAGGACAATGTATTCTCTTCACCTCGACTTCATTGATGGAGTCAGCAGCTTTTATGATCCCTTCGAGGCACTTGTCGATGATAGGGAACACTGCCTTCTCCACCTCCACGCTCTTCTTTAGGTATGTCTTAACACTGGCTGTCCTCTTCTCGTCGATCTCTTGTAACTGGCTGAAGATAGATGGCATCAGGATCGCGAAATGTTGATGCTGGAAGAGAAAAGTACTCCAGGCTTGTACGCTTGCCAAATGACGACCTAGTAGCCAAATTAACATCCCCCTTTGCTCCAGGAAAAGCGGCTGGGAATCATGTGCTACCTGGAGTTCATTCGTTCGTTGGAGTTGACTCGCATATTCATTCTTGGTATCCTCGGATTCCTGGGTCTTCCTCGAGAATAATATGCGATGCTTCTCTACCTCGGCTCTACTCAGATTGAGATCTGCATCAGCTTTTTGAAAGTTTTCACTCGCTTTCTCTGCTTCCTTGAACGCCTTCTCATATGCCTTCTTGCTCCTCTCCAAAGCAGCTTGTTGAGCTTGAAGGACTGCCTGCAGCCGTGCCCCTTCTTGCAAGCTCTGCAACAGTGAGTAGGCTCTCCTAAATCCTCCTTGTCGAAGAGCCACTTTCAAGGCGGCAGGTGTTGAGCGAATGAGAAAGGGATAATGGGAATAGAAAAAGCTCTAATGTGAGAGCAAACGGAGAGGAATCAGATGTAGATAATGCGGTCGAATGAAAGGGTCAACTATCCCTGAAGAGAGACGGATGACGAAGCATTTTACGCCAATCCTTCCAAGTGGATTCCCAACCACTCCTCTCTTCTTTCATAGGCAGGGAAGCCAGTCAAGAACCCCATCACGTCTCCCTCCTATGTACCCCAGAAGCGCCCCCCACTAAGAAAGGATTCGCATTCCTGTCAGCCTTAATCGAAGCTAGGAAGTTAGGTCTCCTCTCCGTTTGAGGCTTGGGTTCCATTTCCGTCACGGTCGGGATCATTTCATCACACGTGACCGAGGCGAATGAAAAACGTGGATCCATTCGCGAATCCCAAGTACATGCATCCCCGGAAATAGCACATTTCCCGAGCCCGGGCCGGGGTCATTCCTTGGGATACCTGGTATTATCTATAAGATTCACGTACATGATCACGCATTTCGGCGCCAGACCTAGGGCAAAGACATCAGATTCACCATGAGGCGAGCTGCATGCATATCAAGGGAAAGGGCCAGGTAACTGAAGTGGAATGGAAATGGCACAAAGTAGGGGTGTGGATCCTGCGGGAAATCAGGGGGTTGAAATGAGGAGGGGAATCCATTCACTACGAACTAACAGAGACCGCTAAGACCAGAGACAGGGACACACGAGGGGGAGAGCAAATCCAATTCCGGCACATGTGCCCCCTGCAAAAGTTGGATACTTTTGGCATTTGGGGAGGGAGGGACAGATCTCTTCTCTCCCTTCCCTTCCTTCTTCGACTTGCATCATGTCAACGAGCTTCAAGTTACACCCCAGCTTTGGAAGACAGAAGACTAATTCACATGTTCTTTCTCGAAGAAATCCTAATGGGTTTGGAAACCTCGCGAGAGGCTGTTTCAAATAACCATACGCGAACCAATACGAGGAATTTTCAAGGACTGCAGAAATGATCAATGCAAACACCAAACGAAGGCGGCTGAATTTTCATTTCGTCACGAGGGAGACCTTGGCAAATTTATGAATGACAAACTCGCTTCACAGATTGAAGTTTGCTTTCCCTCCATCAGTCTTGTATGTTTTCCACGCTTCGACAAGCATTCCATCACTCTGCGCTCATTCACTTGAGAGGGGGCAATAAGGCCAAACGAAAGCACGACCATAAAAAAAGGCCTTTTAAACATACAGGCCTCATTTGGAGCACTGAATGCACCGCTTTCCCGATGAGAATGTGGCAACCAGGAAAGGAATAGTAAACCAGAAGAGGAAGAAAACAGACACGAAGGTGGTGGCCTAGGACTCCATAGTAGAAAAGAGGATTGTCTCCTATTGAACGTGCTCACTCAAGCATCGGACAACGAAATGAGTTCAATGGGAGCACGAGCTACTCCTCCACGACTGTGGCGAAGAGAGTAGAGTAAGAAAGCCACCCTTGAAGAAAGGTAAGACATTTGACTGATGGATAAACTAAAGTATTTCCGACCAAGGTTTATAGATGGATCAGTTAATGGCACCCATTGGACAGGTCGTCGAGCATGCATGTAGGCCATGTTCGTTCTCACTCCCATTTTTCATCCATAGACTTCCTCTTCCTATATTACGATTCCTCGAAGGAATGGGGGCTTGTTACCCCCCACTGCTCGACTAATACCAGGCAGGGTTTCAGTTTTATTAATTTCCCCGAGATGAGGGTCGACAGCAGCAATGGATCATGGATAGATATGTAGGCGGTGGCTGGTGGAGGTGGTGTCTTGGCTCATCAGCTGAAAAAAATAGGGTGGGCTGAAATTCTTCGTTGCAATTAAAAAAAAAATCAAAATACCTTGCAACACTTCGTACCAATTCTTATTTTTGAATAAATTAATTATAGAACATATAATTTTCTATTTTAACTAAATTCTCTCCTGTCTTCTGAACAAAATATTCGTTGAAATTTGGTTCCTCCCACTTGTGCATGCTCCTTCAGGAGGGAATGAAATTGCACAGCAAGGCTTCTCATCCTGCTCTCGCCGTAGAAGCATGACCCCTTTGCAAGTTCGGCACTAAGACAGCCGTATTTTGATATTTTCTTAAGTCAGGCCAGCACTGAAAAAGTATCATTCTCTATCCAGCAAATAATAACAACTACCACATGACGGGAGATGGAATCACATGAGCCTAGGAAGCAAGAAGCGCAGGCGATTTGCAGCTAAATTTGACATTCTTTTAATGCAACTCTTCTCCCTCTTTCTTCACTCTAGTCAAAAGATTTCCGGGGATGTATTCTGCACTCTGCGAGTCATATTCCTTTCTAATACATTATAAAACCTTCCAGAACAGGAATGGAATCGTAATTGCATTTTTTTTTGTTTCGGGAAGCGAAGAGAAATCATTTTCAGGGCTGATGGGAATGCGCCTCCATCGAAGAAGGGCAAGCACAATACTGGGAAAACAAAAGACAGTAAATGCCCTGTGGGGGGGAGAGGCTGATACATTATGAAAGTTCAAAAACTTCAGCAATGAGTTCTTTCTAGACCTGGAGTGGAATGAGGGTCATCCTCATTAAGTTTTTGACCGTCGGGTTCAATTTTCAGAACTCTTTCTTGAACGTGACCAGGCTGATCCCTCATGGAAAGAACACCATTCTTTGGAGTGAAGAGGCGATCTTCAGCCTGGCTAAAACGGTCAATCGCCACAATTTATCGCCACACAGTTTATTGGGACTCAAAATCCCAATTGATATGTTGAGGCGGACAATTTGGGCGCACAGAAGGTGATGGTTTTGGCGGGGATATCTTCGACCAGAAAGGTCGCACCGATCTTCTTTGATCAGTCGGTGTCAGGTGCCATCAACCTCCGAATGTTGAGTGAAGATGTCCTTCCAGCGATCTCCCGATGGGAGGAATTTGAACGCCTCACCTTCCAACAAGATGGCGCTCTTCCCCATTACGCTCTAACAGTTGGAAATTTTCTGGATGAGACCTTTCGGAATGGATTGGTTGTCGTGGAACCATCGAATGGCCGGCAATATCTCCGGATATGACTCCCCCTGATTTCTTCCTCTGGGGATATCTAAAGGATCGGGTTTTCGCCCGTTCTCCAAGGGATATTTCTGAGCTGAAAGAAATCATTAAGGAGGAGTTTGACACCATCCCTCTGGATATGGTTCAGAAGGCCTGCCGCTCAGTCCTCAATCGATGCCAGGTTTGCATTGAGATTGACGGCAAGCAAATCAAGCTTCACAAAGGATAATCTCCTGATTGTGAATGTTTGATGCTGGATGGCGTTGTGGAGGCAAGGGGAACCACTTGAAAAAAACTCCCTATGGGATGAACGACGGCTACCTCCATGCTGATTCATTCTGGATAACACTAAATACGTCAATTGGAAGATGTCAGCACTTTTTGCTATCACATTTGAAATTTGATATCTCAGTAAGGAGATGCAATAAAATGATAAAACTTTCAGGGCTACTGGATCAAGGCATAATCTAATGAATGATGAGCTTTAAAAGATTTTATCAAATTGATAAGATCTTGATTTCAGAGGTTTTGGCAGAATCAGTTTTTCAACCTGATAGAGGGCGCTGCGATTAAAAACTGTCGAATATTTTGGCAAAAGTTGTTCTATATTGTGATCAATTTTCATCAAGATTGGTTGCGTCCTCTCAGAGATATGAGCGTTCAAAGATGTACAATTTAAATTAAATGCCCTGTATATACCTTGTTTCGAAATAGTAGACTTCATCTGAAGAAGAGTAGTCACTAACTCGAATTGTTTGAACTAAGCCACATCTTCATGTGCAGTTCAAAGCCGGAAGGAATATGGGCGATGTTAGTGCAGCTGCTTTTTAGTTCTTTAAAGGTCACTAGTTCGGCTTAAAAGAAAGGAGTCACCATTCGGAAATGATTTAATTAATTCGGAAAGTAATAATCAGTTACACAATTCCTACCGGTATTCACTTCTTACGTAATATTTTGGTGAAATCTTCCTATACAGGAAGGCCCATAAGTATGTAACAGTTGAACCAATTAAATCGCATTTCATTAGGTGAAGTTCCACCTAATTGGGTAGAATCTATGCAACATATGTCGTTCAGTTCCTGCCCGTTCCCAAAACTGAATCGATGTCAGTGACTGTCTATTTGAAAAACTCAATGTAGTAATGAATAAAGTTCATAAGCAATCAAACTGATACTTCTTGAGGCATACACTCATTGCCACAGAAATTGATCGAAAAGTTCTCGGGTTCACCTCTGGTTCCTAACGTGGAGTAATTGAATTCCAATACATCCAACACAACCGTGAAAGAATACTCGTAGAACCACTTCAAGAATGACTATTTATTCCCCTTGCGAGTTAGAAATCAGGGCACCTCTCGTCAATGAGCAGGTGATGTAGCAATTGCATGTTTGCAATGTTATTTTCACTTATTTGTTCTGTCACGAAAAGTCATGTCTCTTGCTCCATCCCTCCCCCATATTCAAGAACTGAAGGGAGAAATGGTCGGAAAGCAGACATAGAAGTGTTCCACGCATCTTATCACCTTGTACGAAGGGCGTTCGATAAAGCTGAGGTCATCGCCTATATCTGCGCACAAATACATGAATGTCTGACTTACGAGGTACGATTAAAAAAATTCCTCTCCTCGCTTCCCGAGAATACTCCCATTTCTTGGTCCAGTGTATTCAATTCGGTGTTGTGAAGGATCTGCATTGCTTAAGTACACTCACGTAGAATTGGAGAAGCTAGAGCAGTAACTGATCGTCTATGTATTTAGCTGCAGTCGAACAAAGCTAAAACTGGAGTCCGTAAGGTGCTAAAGATAGGAATTCATCTCCATATGCTTACATATGCTTACCCGCAGCAGGAACCTCACGGTTTGAGGTTCTAATTTAATATGGGTAGGTTTTAAGTAACAATGCGATAAAATTGCTAAAAAAATGGAGGAACGAAGGGGTTAGTGACGTACATAAGAGGCGCTCATGGCAGTGTTTGCGTTTTTTCAACGCCTTCGACCGTCCCGATATCTAAATGATGAACAGGAGCCTTCAGCCCGGATCAGCGCCCACGGAGCTATGGGCTTTGGCCTTGCAGGTTCCATGAATCACATGGCCATTATCGCTCGAGGGCTCAGAAGCAGTCTGGTATAGTATATTCACTCGTTGCTCTCATTTTGTAACAAAAGGTCAATAACGCGTTACGTGTTACTAATTCCTTCCAGCACTGCCCTTGGGAGAGAGACGTTATATACCCCTGCAGGCATGGAACGACTGTCCTCTCGCTCAGGCTAGGCAATAAATCCAATCCGGAATAAATGAAATATTTATATATGATAAAGAAAAAGGTCAGGCTTATCATAATTCAAGCAGCTACCATCGTGGGACGGCAAGAACTACGCCCGTTTCTCTCAAACCCTCACCTGTCAACTGGATCCCTTCTACTCGGAATCCTATTCAATTTCTTGCAGTATACTGGTCAAGAGCGAAAACGAGGAAAGGAAGAGTAAAGAATTGAACTAGTTCCCTCCCAGTCAGTCGTTTCCAGATCAATGCAGGTAGCTGTGGAAAGAAGTGAAAGAGAAGGATGAGGATGGCTTTCGAAAGCCTTCCGCGAAAGGGGGTCCAGCTCTCGATTTCCGATTAGATAAAAAAGAGAATTCTGGCTTCCTCGATATCATCTCTGGTTGAACGGTTCCAACCCCAACAGTTTCCTTGTCTTCATACGCATCCCCGAAATTTTTCTTATTAATTCTCCGCTCTCCTCTAACCTTTTTCCGTTCTTCCTTGAAGCTTTTGACGAGGGAAGCGACATTTTGAGCCACAGAGGACGAGAGATTCTCTGCGATAACTTCATGCTGACCCGCCAGATCTCCGACTTCACCGAGAACTCCACGAAATGCTCGGCATGACGAGAACCTGAGGAAGAGCGAGAGATGGAATCACAATACAGTCCTCCATCATCATCGTGACATGCGAACCAGACACATTAAGGAGACGTGAAGTGGGTAGACCTTGGCCGAAAGCGAATCCAGTATTGCACGTAGGCTTGAGAACAATGGCGGCATGCCCATTGTGCCACAGAAAAGGATCTCCATACTGATACGGACGATTAAAAAAAAAAACCAATTCGACCATATCGCGTTCCGTGCCTCGCATCTCCTATACGGAAGTCCGTCTCTCTAGTCTATGGCCTCACACCGTTTTCAGCGGCATAGTAGAGCCTGCCTTTTGCATACAATGGCTTCACGTGTCCAGACTCCTGCATAACATTTCTGATTGTCCGATGGACTGATATGGCGAGAGGGAGACGAGGGTCATCACACTCACCCGCTACAGGGCATAGGCACCTGGCCATCAATGGACTCCAATTACGCGTCCGGATCGATCGGATTCGGAACAGCCCGGTGTATAGCCCAGGGAAATAAGAGTGCGGGATGAGAAAGGGCCGATCGGTGACCCAACTTGTTTTCCTCATTCTCTGGGCTCAATGAGTACATGTCGTGCCGACTCGCTTTCACGCCGTGCACATCCACCATTATAACGATTTGCACTGCTCTACATCCATGTGAATACAAGCCTCGGGGTTCCCAACGAGATAGGCCACCAACTAGAACGTTCAGGGTGCTTACAAATAAAACTTCCTCTTCATGATCTTATTCGGTATTCATTCTGACGCCTTTAGGGCATGCAAGTCATTCGAGTATGCATGAGTTTACTCAGACTGCTCTCGAGCAGACATTACGGCTACTAGCAAACAGTTGGGGCAAGCATTTTTTTTTCCCTTCTCTCTTGTAGTTCCGACAAAGAGACTCCACCCACGTGTTTTGGCAAATGCGTCTTCCACGTGCAATAGTTTACCTAACGGTTCAAGCTTTCATCTATGAACGTGGTATACCATTCAATGGGTGCCCCATTCCATGAGGAAGTGGGAAGGTTCGTACAGGAGTACTACCCTCGATCCCCTTCCCCTTGTTTTTCCTGCAAAGGCGAGAGTGAAAGAAGAAAAAGGAATCCCTTATCCGTGACAGGAAAGATGAAAGAGATAGTCACACAGCACCCTCCATTAATGAGGGGAACACGTGTGTGTTCGCAGGACTGGGCATGTCGAATTATACCCCATATCCAGTGAAATGGGAAAGAGGGAGGCAGCTCCCAATCACAAAATTAAAATAAAAGGTTTTCCAATGTTCTCCTCAACGTCGAAAAAAAAACTAAACTAAATAATTTAGAATGGCAACCGCTCACCCTGGAATAAAAGAAAAGCTTCATATGGGCGAACGGTACGCAACTGCTCATTTACCATGAGGAAGAAGGTAATTTCATGAACCACAATTAGCATATTACTATCGTTAATATTTCAAGATTGGCTGTGGTTAAAGGTCGACAGGAAACGCTGAAAATCAGTTGTCCTAACTGCCTCAAGGTTGAATCAGGTTGATGACGCCTTCAAGGCACTTTTTCTAACAACTTCGGCATATACGAGGTATGACCTGTTTCCATAAATTAATATAGTTTCTTTCTCTCGAAGACTTTCACTCCAAAACGAGCTGGTGATTTTTCATGAATGGATAAATATATGAACTAGGATTAACTTACTGAAGATCTTCCTCCTCCTTCTTGTTGGGCTGATATTTCTTCACCAACCGCCTGAAACAAAACCAAGGAAACCTGCCATCATTCATCCTATCAACCTCGCATCAATGTCTGAAAAGGGGGAAAAAATAAAAAAAAAAATGTCTTCCGCCCTGGCATCCGGATCCAGATGACGCGCCAGATAGAGAGAGAGAGAGAGAGAGGAGAAGCAGGAGCAGGTCAAAAGGAAGATAGGAAGGTAGGTCCACACACGGGGAGAAACCTTCCAAATGGCTTTTAAATTTAGCCGCAGAGACAGAGGAGCGACGAGAGAGACAAGACCCCGTCTCAGCCCGCTTCTCGCTTATCACGCCTTCGCACGGATCCCCAACTTTTCAGCCAACCGGTTTCCAAAACAGGACATTTCTTTCCTTTCGTTTCAAATATGGCTCGTGGCCCCTTTCGGCGTTCGGCATGTGACAGGCGGATTCAGCCCCGCTTTCGCATTCCCCCCATTTCCCGTGCAGGTCATCCTCTCAACATGGCGACCTTGCTCTGATTCCCAGCTCATCACGAACTCGTGGGGTTTTTGGCTCCATCGAACAGTCCCGGCGGTCATTCCACTCCGTCAAGGTTCCAGCCATGCCAAGCATCACGTGGAGCAGATCGAAAAATGTCCTAGGCCCCGTCCCATTCCAGGATTAGAGACCGAGAGGGTGAAGGAATTCTGAGCTCGTGACGCGGGCCGTCACAGTAAAAAAAAAAAAGAGGCAGAACTCCATGTAGGCTGTCTCGGTCTTGTCACCCCATGTCGCATTTACACTGCCACATCCACGGTATGTAAGCGCAAGGAACTTGAAGTTTCTCTCCACTTCGCAATAGTGGCACATGCAAAGTCTGCCGGGAGCATCGTCCAACATTCGCACTTGACAATGTTGACATGATGCTCTGGTCGAAGCTCACTATTGGCTGGTGCCCTGGGACGGTAAGGGGAATGAATATCCAGTCCATTCCGGGTACATTACCTTGGAAATAGGCGTTTCCCCTTTCGATGACAACGAACCCAGAGATTGGAGAAATGGCCCGTAAGAAAAAGTCATGCAAGCGCACGACATGGCCGAAATGGGTCAGCTATGTTGCAACGGATGGAGAAGTCTTGTATAAGCTATGCATCCTGAGCCAGCAAGCGATGCCTTTCGCCCTGTCCCCTGCACTGTCTGCATGGGATGACTCGTATCGAATCCTGCAGAGAAGCGGAGCATGCACGGAAAGCGTTGTGAGGTCAGCCAGCCGAGGAAAAACCAAGTTCAACGCTCTCTCGAAGGAAAATGTTGCAATGCTCGGCAGCCAAGCCTAATAAATGGAAAAACCGCATATAAAGACAGGGGATCTCTTGAGTGTTTTTCTCATTAGGGCAGTACTGCTTGGCATCTGCTCGACATGATTATACGCGTATCATGGAGACGTTGACGGCCACCACGTACACCCTTTCGCTGAAATCCCATAAGGACTTTCTTCTCAAAAGCCACGATGACAGATGATGATTGCACTCAACTACTGATTCTCGCCGTGATGCCATACTCAACCGCCGTACGAAACGTCTCGGGTTACAAGAGATGGCAAATGAAGAAAAAAGCCCGCTCAGGCGCCCTTGCGGAATGGGGACGTGACTGATGACGCGAGAAAGCCGCCTTAATTGGTCGCCAACAAGAAATCCCTCGTCATTACCAGAAGAAATGGGCTCCCTCTACCTATAGGGGAGAAAGCCACACTTGGTTTTGATACCGTGACCTTGCAGTCGTGGGGGTGACCCGGTTACAGGAGAGAAGGCACGAAAGAATGATTCCCGGGGGAGGCGACAATTACAACAGTGAAAATCGCTGGAGGCTCCCTCGGCCCTGTCTCTCCCACACGACAATATACGGCCTAGCCAGGGGGGAGAGGAGGAAGTGAAGCCGCAGAATGAACTCCTGGGTACAAACGACCCATTTCCACGTTGACGTGGGAACAGGTGAGACTGGTGACGCTTCCATTAGCACTTCCCATCGGAATTTCGTACATTACACGGGACCTTCTGTCGGAGTGTGGGGTAGAGAAAAATCTCAAGCGAGGTGTATATTTCCCCTCTGTCCAAGCTAATTCCAACGTGACGTCATTAGGAGCAGACAGCAAATTATCTGCTCTTTTTCGCAATCTTGCGATTGAGTTGAGCTACGGGTATCTTATCTAGCTGTCTAATGATCTCCCAGAAAAAGCTGTCTTGGAAATGAATATGAATTCGTTCAGGAAGCACAGCTGACCTTTTGAGTTGGCAAGAAGCACTCCTGAAACAGTCTTTTACTCCCTCCTGGTTCAAGAATCAGTTCCTGCCGAGCATTTAAATGGTGCTGCGATCGTTATGGACAATGCTACGATGCACTATAATATTACCCTATCTCGGGGTGATAAGTCTTTGACTGAGATCCGACTCTAGAATATTGAATGAATAGTTCAAAGAAAAGAAGATGGAGTTGTACAGGGTGTTAAGAAAGTTGTGTCCCATCGCAATATGCCTATAACCTCAGCAAAAATTTAAAAAATCAGTATATATTAAAATACACAATAACAAGGACAGTTAACTGATTTAGAATCACTTAATAGTTTTCAATATAGCCGCCCTTGGCACGGATGACAAGGTTCAGACGATCCATGAAAGCATCAACTGATTTTCGCAAGACTTCCTGTGGAATTCGCTCCGATTCTCGATTCAGGGATAGCTTGAGAGAATCCAAAAACGCGGCATTTTGTAGCTCATACTTTGCACTCCAAGATGGACCAAATTGAAAAATCTAAATCTGATATTTTTTTCAAGCCATTCAAGGGGCAGCTTCTGTAATGGTCTGGGCCGGGATTACCGCACTCTGCTCGTTTTCGTGCCTGAGAAGATGAAGGTCAACGCTGAAGTATACCGGAAAAGCATCCTGGAAGACTACCTGGTTCCGTGGGCCACGAAATATTTCGATGGAGGCAGTTGGGTCTTCCAGCAGGACTCAGCGCCAGCTCACAAGGCGCGGATGTGGAGTGACTGCGGACAAATGTCCCCGACTTCATTTCGACTTCACCTTACTCCCCCCGATGTCAACCCCCTAAATTTTTATATTAGGTCCATCTTGGAGAGCAATGTGTGTGCTACAAAGCACCGTTCTTTGGATTCTCTCAAGCTATCCCTGAATCGAGAATCGGAGCGAATTCCACAGGAAGTCTTGCGAAAATCAGTTGATGCTTTCATGGATCGTCTGAACCTTGTCATCCGTGCCAAGGGCGGCTATATTGAAAACTATTAAGTGATTCTAAATCAGTTAACTGTCCTTGTTATTGTGTATTTTAAAATATACTGATTTTTTACATTTTTGCTGAGGTTATAGGCATATTGCGATGGGACACAACTTTCTTAACACCCTGTATGATGCGTTGCATTACAATTCTTTTTCCCATGTAATTCTTCAACCAAACCGAGACTGTTTGATCAAAGGAGAAATGGTGTGATTTTGGTCTACTTGTTGAAAGCTGTCATTGAACTCAGTAATCGAAATCCAAGTCCTTTTAGTCAACTCATGACTGACCAATCTGTGACAGAAACCGAAGATGATGCTGCATCAGTTTTGATGTGCCAAGCTTCTAGCAACTCTAGTTACTGCATTGCAGAGGGCACATGCATGAAGGGCATGCTGATTTCCGATATAATTGATCGGGGGAACTTCTGTTCAAAAAAAAAAAAACAAAATAGAAATTGCCCTTGCGGAACCTCGCAGGATTCCGCTACTTGCCAGATTTGGAATACCACCAGAATCGCTTTTATATGGCGAGACCTTCTTGAATATCTTTCATACGCTTCCCAGTGAGGTGGGACGTGACGTAGGACTCCAGGTAATGCTCACCCCTTCAATGAGCACAAATCTAATTCCTTATCGCTGATTTTGCAAGGAGCCATGAAAATGCTGTCTATTGTCACGACTGGGATTCACCATCAGTCACTGCTGATTCTTATACTTTAGGATATGGTAATGAAGCATAAAATATTCATGAGAACTGAGATGGTTTTAGGCATTCAGGACCGTTGCGAGTAGAAGTGCATACCTTTGGAGCAAGATACATATAAGTAAATTTCATACAAAAGCATTTGCAAGATTCTTCTACATGTGATCTCATAAATCTCAATACTGCGTCCAGACTAGGAGTCTGACGTCACTGTAGACTTTTTCTTACAAGAACGAGTATGCACATCGGAGCGGCAATTCCTCCTTAGACAGAAGGAGAAGGCCAAGAAATTAGGCTGGTCACGCAATTCAATCTCCCATCACCATCATTCATCATCAACGGCTTCCTAACTCTACGATCTAAGTTCCAATCACTTTGTAAATCCATTCCAATCCAGATAGCGGTCAACTATCGAAATTGGTCCATACTCGTCGGTGCTTATCTGTACATCTGGAAACAAATGATGCAACCGATTGCTCAACTTTTGATATTTGCCTTCGAAAGCAAATATCAAAAGTTGAGCAACGTGCCGATCAAGAAAACCGTCTGTACGTGATTCCCCTGCTCTTTCCGATCCGACACGGTTCGTTCGATCGATAATGAAAAGTTATGATTTCATAAACAAAAAGGCTCCTAATAATACAACAACCCAATCACTCTTTCCATCGAAGGACTTGCAGGTCGTGCCTTGCAATACTCTATTGAAAGTGCGCTCCGGGGAAACCCGCTCTACTGAGCAGGTACCTTTCATCTGACAAGCTAAAACGAGGCGACTAGAGGTTGGAATACAATGCATCAAACTACAATGACTTTCGCCAGCAAAGAATGAAGGAGTCAATTGTAGTGGTGAATCAACGGACTGCGGCTGATCACGAGAAAGAAAGAACTATGAAAGAGCATTTCACTTTTAAAAACGTATGGTATTTCTTGTCTAGGCTGTTAAATGCAATGACACGACGCGAGAATGCGGGCTGGTGACCTCTTTTACCAGTCCATATTTCGCGATTCCGTAGGACTACATATAGGAAGTAAAAACAAAAGCCGGCGGGGGAAAGAACCAGAACTCGTTCCGCCGGTTATTCTATCCTGACTGCATCGGAACATGGCGCTTGCGATCTCGCAATGCATCGAAAAGAGTTTTGGAAGGACAATACAGTAATTATTCATGTATATGCAGAAGTCTGGAGTCTAATGAGATGTCTGTGAAGAGATCAAATGACAGATGAAGGGGGGGAGCCTGAAACGCAGCTTCCATCCCATCTAGTCTGTTATCTGGATCCATCCTTGAAACGTCCTTCATAAGAACGGCAACGAGCAGTGTCTTGTGAAGAGTTGAGCGATTCTCTACGCATGACTATCCATGCGGCCTTGCCTCATTCCCAGGGTTAGCTAAAACATAGAACCCTTTTTTCTCTCTTTCAAATAATGAGAACGTTGGCCACATCAGAATGCAAGGAAGTGGCATACCCTAGGGAAGCCCCTGAAATACTATGCAAGGTTCCACTACAACCCTGCCTCCGTCTATGAATATTCCTTCCAGATGAGGCGGATTCAGCGATAAGTCTCGGCATGCGGAGGTTGACGTGTCCTTGTTCGCTCCGAATGTCCTGCCTTTATGAAGAATGAGTCGCGTGGGAGGGAAAATTGAACTTGTCCGCTCAGCATGGGTGGAGCTCGGCGAACGGGGACGAAAGAAAAACACGCCAGACTCTGCCTTGATTACAAGGTATTACACTTCCTCAAGCCCTCGCCATTGCCACGGTCGTGGGAAATAATCCCAGGAAGGGCGTTAGGACATGAAGCCGTCTCGGGAGAAGAAACATGGCCTCGAACAATAGATGAGGGGGGGATGAATTCATTTCTACCACGGAACTCCCACTGTAGTCATCAGGCCCAGCGGTCTCGGGTGACGTCCTAATCAGACAGGCGGGGAGGGAAGAGGAGTGAGAATAAACAAGCGAAGATGTCTGAGGAACCAGGTGTGACAGGGAGGGAGTGGGGAATTTCCCCTCTGCATGTGTTGTACATAAAGCTCGGGAAGGGAGTGAGGGGCGACCTCGTGTCTCACTGCAACACCCCCCCAAAATGTTTCGATCGATGGGAGAGCTGCAGCAACAGCATGGCTTGTGGATCTGTGGGGGGTAGCCTACTGTGGTTGCGAATGGGAGGACAAGAAAAACAGCTCAAAAGTACATCCTTATCCTTGCTTTTTCCCGATGGAATGGATTCGTGACTTTTAGCAAGCACGATTCCATTGCACGAGATGAGGTCTTGAATTGATATGAAAGCAAGTAATCACTGCAAATATGAAAGTACTCACCTGAGTTTCGCGGCGTAGTCCGTCTCCACGGCACATCTCTCTCTGATGAAGCCACCCAACTTCTCCAAGAATTCTATTCCCTTCTGGGTATGAGCCGCTATGTTCTCGTACTGATCCTGCAAGTGAAAATATATTTCCTCTTTATTGATGGTCTCAGACGTATTAGCCAACAAGAGCGAGACAAGGACAGAAGAATGAAGTGGGGGCCAGTCCTTTCATCGAATGGCTAAGAGGGGGGTCTGCCAGGGGTTGGTTGCATTTGCCAACATTGCTGCCATTAATTCTAATGTCTTACAGCACGTACTTCGGTATGACTCAGCGAATCCGGGGAATGGGTGTGGTATCTTCAAGAATTTTTCTTGTCATTGCAAAGCCCACCCAGTCCTCCGGAAAGGAGTTCAAAGTCCCCAATGGGACAGTGTCCTACGTAGGGAAACGGGCACAAAAATGCCATCGAGGCCATTCACTGCTATAACGTAGCAAAACCTTAAAACCACACAGTGATCACAACTTCCAACTGCAGAGTAATTTATATCTGCCGACACAACAATAATTTCAGTGGCAATTTCACGGGCGACTGGAGGCGATTTGGGACCGTCGTATGAACCCACCTGATAAGAAAACGTGGCGATCATCGGCTCTGAGGATACATATATCTCATTGACACAAGGAACAGATAGCAAGCCGACAAGCAACACTGAAATGAGCTAGTTCGAACTCATGAAGGGGAAAGGGAAGGAAGCAATTGTCTGGGGGTGTGAACGGCCCCGGGGTATGACCGCTCCGTGACTGACCCTTGGCCTTCGATACTCAATTCAATGAGGCTACTCCCAAAGAGCCACTGCTGTGCAATAGCCATATTATGATTACCTAACGGGCATTGCTGAAAGGAGCCACTGACACCCCCCTGACAGTGATGAGGGGAGCAAGAGTCGTCTTTCCCACTGCCCTTTAATATCAGTAACAAGCACCATGAGTGGGAAGAAGCGACGAGACAAACCAGGATACCCCTACCTCTGTCCCTGAGAAGGTCACTGCGGCTTCGAGTGGGACTATCGGGGCTGGATACCGTTACTCAATACTTACATACAGCGCGTGACAGGTCATGTGTAGCCAGTTGCAGACAGGTCTGGGCGTAGTTTTTTTTTATATTTTTGATCTAAGATCACGTCGCCATTTCTCAACCCTTCTCGTAAGGGTGGCCACTCGTTACTCAACATCGATCGGGAAATGCGTTTGGGTAAACAATCGGAGGCCCTTTGCCTTCGATGCCAATAATTCGGTTTTAGTCCACACAGTTGGGTCATTGTCCGAGCTATGGTGGCCAAGAATGGACACAAGTGTGTTTAGTCATGGGAGCTTGGGTGCTCTGGCACGCGTTGCCAATTACATCCATTCTCGGCTGGGGCCTTTTTGGTCCTGTGTTCACCAGACCCTCTCTCGTCATGGGAGAGTTCTCAGCCAGCCACCCGCGTGAAGAGGAAATAAAAAAAATTAAACAATCATGTTCAAGTACTGTACCTTGTCGTCCGTTTTACAGATAATACCTTCCCACTACAAACCGGAAGGAGCCTTCCTCGATTATTCGTCCTCGATTGACGAGTCGGTAGAGAGGAAAAACGAATATTGGAAGGGAAATGCGATGTAGTTCATGTCTTGTCTCACGGGAATTTGCCCCGAGGGCCGGATGAATACATAACCGCAGGATTCATGCGGATGCTCAGGGGATAGGCTCACGTTTTTCCTAATAGCCCTCACCAATTTTCCGACGTCAACTGTCACCCGTACAGTCACGCCAATTTCGAATTGTAATGAACTTGATACCAATGCGATAGTTTGTTGGGGGAATTGAGTCTGCCACTCTCTTATTATACCACTTCCTTCCTCTCGGACACTCCGTTGCAAGGAAATGAACATGAGTCACAATCAGGGGGAAAGGCTTGCTTATACCAAGGATCAAGAGGATGTACCACTGAAATCCGAACCAGGATGTAGAAGAGAAAATGCTGAGTAACAAGTAATTTCCTCCTTTTCAGACTTTCCTGGGACAATCGAGCCCGAGGCGGGTAATATTTCGTTGCGAGATGAGGAACGACGGCAAAAGAGATCAAATTTTCTATCCACGTCGATGAGGTGAGCTCGCACGCGAGTTGCGTCAATTTTTCATGCTTCGATTCACTCCAGCAGCTGGATGGGCGAAAGCGTCGACTTGTGTCGATGACGAGGGGAGAGGAAGTCGTTCCGGTGCGAGAAGGGCTCGTGTCAACGAGGGCAAGGGGAAATGGCTTCTCCCTCATGCATGCACTCTGGATCCATTCCTGCTCTGAGCACCAGAACTAACGAGAAATACCTCAACCTTACGAGACTCTGCCAGTCACACCGTTGCTTGCCAGATGATCCCTTCGTTATACAAAAAAGGGAGAGAAGAAAAAGTATCATCACGCAGTTACCTTTCTTGAGGCGTAACGTGACTTATGAGAACCGACTCTAAACGTTGACACACTTCTGCGACAGTGATATCAAGGTCTCAAGGCGAGAGTGGGAAATACGACTTTCGCACTGAAAGCTGCTCTCTCATCGAGGACTTCTACTCCCTCGAGTTCTTTACTTCATAGATGTCATGAAAATTGTCGTAAAATCTCTTCAATGTGCCAGATAGCTTGAGACTCTTCTCCTTAACACTCAGCATTCTTCAAACTTGCAGGGTAGAAATGCACCAAAAACAAACAGACAAGGAAACTATCCCTGCCACAGGGGGCGAAGTTAGAACTACTCGCTTCAAAAGACCTTCAAAACGAGAAGAGAGCGTGAATACGGTGTAGTCTGTGACCCGGGTCTAGATAACGTACGCTGCATTGTACACACACCAGGTAACAGTTAAAACCATGAGGTTTAGATATTTTCTTAAGTCAATATTGCGATTAGACAAGCAAATGCAACAGACAATGAGGTAACTCAATTTTCCCCAGCAGCTCGAAGTCCTCATTCTTCCGTCCGAAAGGAGACACTTTGGTTCTCATCACTTTCGAATATGAGACTTTCACGGGAGCTAAAACGCATTTGATAGATCTCCCTTGAAAGGAAAATCGTGCTAGATGGCGGAAGACGACATTCCCATAAAAGGACCCTCGCTCTAGTGAGAGGAGAAATTGACCCCTTCTCGCTGAGTCATTGCTGTGGAAATGCCATCAATGAGGCAAGAACAGACTATTGTGCTTCTCATCATCGAGGAGCCATTGGCACTTACAATATCCATGAAATTCTCTCCCAGGATGCCGTCAAGGGATCTCCCACATTAATTCTCAAGACAAATCGCTTTAATAGCTTTTCTTCTTTATGCTTCCATGTGAAGCCTGAGGCTGTCACTTTTAGCCACGGGTAAGCCCACTCCGGCGGACCACGTAAGCACGAGCCTTAAGGGTACAGACTCGATTACATCAAGGGACAAGAAAGGTTCTTCGCAGCGTGAATCGCAGATCGAAAACGAAAATGCAAGTCAATCTTCAACATAGTAGCAACAGGTGAACGTTTCTAACCAGTTAGCTGAGGCATACAATAAATAAATAATCTGTATTTCAGGGGGTACCTTACGTGAGAAAAAGATTCAATTCGAGAGGGTGGGGGGGGGGGGGGGGGGCCCACCCCCCCGAGAACAGAGCCCCAGGGGGGGCGGGGGGGGGGGGGGGGGGGGGGGGGGGCGCCCATCCCCTCGAGAACAGAGCCACTGTCCAATGAACCAAATTTTCAGAACTCCAAAAACGTTAGATACTTAAAAACAGGGGAAATTTCTCTTTTCCTTTTGAGTGTCTCTCTTTTATCCTCAAATACACGCCTACGACATTGATCACGCCATATTGTGCATTTATTAAACGTATAACTGAAAGTACTGCTGGCTCTTGCGAGGAAAGTGAGAGTGTCTCATTTTTAACTTCTACTTCAACCGCATTCGAAAGCAAGCAGTGTGGAGAGATGCTCGTCATGGTAGGTTGAAGTTCTCCTGTCATCTGAGAAAGAAACAGGGTCTTGTTGTGCTTTCCCATCGGGTTTTCGCCAAAAATCCAGACATAACTCGGTAAAACAGTTCAGCTTGTCGTTCCCACAAAAGATTCCTTCAGTCTCTGAATGGAATTCTAACTTGCGACCTAATTCAGGGAGCGCTAAGGCATCAAAGATCGGATTTGCATGTGTGTCAAGGGGGATCGGATTTCATGAGATGCACGTACCAGGGTTTAGGTTAAGTGTTTATGGCAGCTAAGGACAGAAGATTGAGACGTCGATCTATGGCACGTGACAGGAAACAGTCAAGCATGAGGAAGTGGGATGAGGAGAGGGGAAGTCTGGGTCAGACAAGAGAGAGAGAGAGAGAGAGAAAAAAAAAAAGCCACGGGCGGCTGACTGGCCTAGCAGTACAGTGCATTGAGGGTGGAATTAAATCAGAAATCTCACTCCAGCCCTAGCATACTCAGACATGCAGATAATGATGGGAAAGTGAGCGCGAGACCCACTGACCTCTTGAGTTCCACCTACGGGGATGGCCACCCTCGACGATCCAGAGCCAACATTAATACCTCACCTCTCCTTCCCCCGCATTGTTTTCCTTTTCCATTACCTCTCCTTGACCTTCGAGAAATGAATACCCGGTCCACGATCGAAATTTTTAATGAGACAAGCCAGGAAAAAGTCAGAAGCATTAATGATGCCATAAATCTAGGGACCTTGGCGCGGTTTCTACTGATGCAAAACAGCGACAATAGACTATTTATTCTTGGACGAGGGACAACACTTCATCCGAGCTGTCGTAAACAACCCTTCTACAACGGGACAATGACCTCAACGTTCATGGAAACCGCCTCCTCAACATGCCCTCACTCAGGACGTAGAAGTTGTAAGTAGTCAGTGGAATCAGGCGGCGGGGACGGGGACGGGGACGAGGACGGGGGGGGGGGGGGCCTTGGGGCAAATGCAACAGACCGACAAAGAAGGAAGTGAGCCTTGCACGATTGACTCGATTCAATAGGAACTACTACAGATCTTAGGAACAGGATAATGGTTCTATAGTCCCATGGTTCGTTGAGATGCAAAGCAAGATTTTTCTCTACTTGAAAAGTATACTAAACTTCGGCATTCTCTGTCAGTTCATTGACTCCATCGTAGTCATACACTATTGCTTACGGTCTTAGCATTACAAGATCGGAAGAGGTACCCAACCATGACCCTCTCCCCTGCTCTAAGGTCCGAGAACCCATGGGCGGCAAGCATTTTACACATGAGGGACTCTTCATTGCATTCATTGCAAGGTACGGAAGCTATGGAAACTCGCTCATAGCGATGCCTTAAGAGGCTGTGCGTTTGGAATCAATGACTGCACCCCCTTAGCAGAGCATGGGAGAGGGCAGAGAAACAGGAAGGAAACGCTTTTTCCCGTTGTCAAGGCCTTGACTTTCTTTTCTGCGGCCTAGATAAAAAAAAAGGGAGCAACAGTCCTGGAGAGGAAGAAGAACCCCGATACCACTTGGTCGATGGTACCGGGCGAGCGAACAAAGAAATAAGCCCGTAAGCCACGCTCCGGTTACGATACGCATGAAATATTGGCCAGCTTTCCGTATTACGTGGGAGGGGGATGCGTGAAGCATTCATCATGAACCTTTTCGTGTCCGACTTTTTCAATCCCTCAAGGTATTTCTATAAAATAGAAACAAAAGCCAAGGACTACGGAGGGCATGTGATCTCATTACAAGCTTGTCAGTATGCAAGTTTCCTGATGTCACAAGAGACCACTTTTCGAGAACCATCAACGCAGCTTTCACTCGAGATATTGCTCGAAATAAGTATTTGAAGGAAAAAAAAACCAACGAACACCCGGTATGAAACTAACAGCTGACTTTTTGCTCACACGTCAACGTCCACTGAAACAGCTGTCCAGGCCAATTCTCTCCTAATGTATCAGTCATGGAAAGGCTACTTCAAGGCGCTGAAAGGGCGGTTTCTGCGGCCATGGCCTGGGAACGCTAAGGCCAGATGTTAGCCGCCAACCATGCTTGGTCGAGGATATAAAAAGGATGGGGAGGCCGCGTACCTCGTTCCGGGACGTTGGTTCCGATGACCCTTGCAACAGTGCATTCACTTCCCCTCCCAAAAAAACATTTTACTGGTATAAGCCTGACGAGGGAGTTTCCACGGGATAAGCCTCGTCATAAACCGCCCATGAGTTAGCTCGTCCTTTTCATCCTTCCTTGCACGTCATTGCGCCTCGAAAGGAAATGGCCCAACCTCACTGCCTGGACATCTGGCACGTGGTTTTCCAGGCACGGTTTCGCCTAGAGACGGAGCGGGTATGCTGCGCTAGGGTGCCAAGCATTTTCCCCTTGCGAAAGAGGAGAGCCAACCTCCCCTCCTACGCAAACCCCCCTGTCTCACGACAACAAACAAGATCCAGCTATCAGCAACTCTGCACGTGTACAGACAAATCCAGTCTGATAACAAGGAACGAAAGAGCTACGAACTGCCTCGGTTACGTGCATACACACGTGTGTGAAAGAAAGCGAAGAGGTCGTTTATCTGCGTCATGCAAAAAATTATCACGAGGACAGTCCTTTCTCTTTCGAAAATGATGGTCGAGATAGAGGCCAAGCAAGTCCGAACGGGGAGCACAGGCGATGGGTTCAAGCAGTCACCTCGGAGACCTCTCTGCAAGCGCTGCTAATCTCAATTGAAGGATTGCCACATGCAGGGCCCGGATGAGGCAATCACGTGCGGAATGCCACCGACCTCAGCTTCGCTTGCCTTCTCCCATGAATCTTATCTTACTATCTATCCTGGAGCAAGGCCTCGTCTGAATTCAAATAGACGCGCGTGCCGGCATGGACGCATGATTCTGAGGAAACCTCTCAAATGAGAAATGAGAAATTATTTCACGCCCCACGTTGCACCCACGTTCCTTCTCGTTTGATAGATGTCTTTTTAACATATTAACACGAATGTCTCGGACTAGAATCTTCGGGGGGGGGGGGGGGGAGGGAAATCTAGTGAGGTGTGAACCCATCCTGACTGTAATTTAAGCTGAGGATATACACCATCCATTCCGGAGTAATATGCAGTATTCATTGCTAGTCGATGGGGTTCTCGTGGAAAACATATCGTCCTCCGGCCTAGGTCCTCCAGTCTATCATAGGAATGCTGCATCCTATGAGATAAGAGGAATGGCTGCCCCACTCGCAGTTGCCTCTCGTGAAGGCTATCCACCATATGCATACATCCTATACACGAGCTGAACCTCGCCATATGGAACGTGAGACAATGTGTTCGCATAATCATCTTTCTGAACGACACGCGAAGATACTTCCAAGAACAACGGGTGGGGAAACTTCCGAAGAAGGCATGATTGATTAAGGAATTTCCGACCTAGCATATTGCAGAGCCAATATTTCATGTACCACTAAATACAGTGGATTGTAAGTCTACATGAAAGATGGAGGACGCCGACCGTGCAGGGTCAAGCAATAATGTGAGGGAGAAGAGAACCACTTCCGGCTCTCCAATGATGCTATTGTACCTGGGACGAGAGAGGAAAAGAGAGAGACAGAGAGAGGAGATAGCCTGGAACACAGCCTCAGCCGCTACTACACACCAACCAACCATCCATCCCGCCACCATCATTGGGCAAGCAGTCCAATGCCATTGACCTTGCTGTGAGGCAGCCACAGGAGGGATAGAGGGAGAGGGAAAGAGACCGGCTGTCCTCAACACAATCAAGCCATTTCTCATACATCTGAACAAGACCGCCTCCTTTCTCCATCCGAATGCGACGATTGGAAGCTTTCTCCTTATGGGGCAACTACCTGTAAAAGTCGTCAGCAGGGAAGGGTGACGTATTGGCGCACTAGCAGCCTGGCACAGATCCATATCGCTTCATAACCATACCATGAATTTCTCGGAGTCGTATAGATCCATAACCAACACTATGAACTTCTCAGTTCTGATTCGTTGTATCCAGACTAACGGCTTATCGTTGGATAATCGCATCTTCAACAAGCAGAACACCAACACGGCTTTACAAATGTCTTAGAGCAGAGACCTACAAGACCCATATATCCATACCTGTCGTATGTCCACGTCATGGTTCTACGGTCCACCGCATCCACGGCGTCCAAGTCCATGTCCTCTGAGCGTGCGATAGGCCAACAGTTATGTGAAATCCTTTACGAATGAAAACGTGGGCATCACCTTATCAAAGTCCATGATTTCCTTCTTAACTCTGATTTACACACAATCGTTGGATTCAATCCCTACATATAAGAAACCGGAAGGCCGGAGCAGTCAATCTGATGTGAAATGCTATCATTAACCCCGTTCTCGCAACGAAGGCCGCATGCACTTCCGGTAAAACGCAGTACCCTTCAAGCTCCACCACTAAATTGTACGCCTCCATTGTTAACTTCAAACAACGCGATGCGTGAACATACTCATCGATACTCATGTACATTGGAGGGATTTCAAAAGTTGGAAACCCAAGAAGTGCTTCCGTTGGCTTCACGCCACGATACTGGTCGCAAGCAAGTATCCCAAGGAAGGCAGGGAAAGATGGCTGCGAGGGAATCGTAATTATTATGCCCCAGTGGATTGTCAAGGCCACGAACAGCGGGCTGACGGAGGGGAAAGCCTACGGCCATCAGAACCACCAACATCTCTGCATTCCTACGATTGATGGTGGGCCCTCAAAGAAAACAAAACATGCGCACACGGGTAGATAAGACAAACAAGGGCAGCGGCCGGGACTTACCCAGAGCTCCTCTCCCCAGTTGACGGTCATCCTGACGAAGGTGGTGGGTCAGACAGCGCACATCCAAGTTCCCACACGCACCCCCCACCCAATAGAGTAATAAACCTGCACTTGGTCTAGTTATGCAAAATGTGGCTTCACGCAGCCTGTACCACTGATTGCTTCCGCTTCACGTTGTGACACAACAGAAAACAAAAAAAACCACAGTCAACCGGTATTCCTTTCTTCGAGTACGAGTCTGACTACCTAAAAGAAGGAAGACAAGAAACACGAACAGTGCCTCCATTTTAGCGCTTGGAATATATTATAAAACGAATTGGGGGACTCCAACCCAGCGGAACTTTTTGCGAAGGGGAGTTTCAATATGGGTATTTTCATGGATGATAACAATGCTGATGCTGCACTATTGAACCTCCATCTAGAAGATGGAGGTTCAACCATGACACCTCCTTCCTCTATAACTTTTTGACACACCGAACAGTCAGGTGCTTCCAACTTGAAAGGATTCACAAGTTTCTTTAAATTTTTGCAATACTTTTATTTTGCATCTAGTTACATACGAATTGCAACAAATGCTTCATTTTTTTTAAATTATCAAATAAAAGCAATAACAGACTGAGGCACCCAGACCATGAGACAAGCAACAGTGACAGCAGTTAAAAACAAATTTTTCTCAAGGTCAAAATAAGGCTGCTATTCAACGTGCAATATGTTACAACTTTTAAGTAGGACCCGAATCATTTCAGCATTCAAACAATGTGCTAAGAGAGTTATTGCCACATGAATTGGATATTCTCAATTTAGCTCTACTTTACTCAGGGGCTGGTAGTGGAATGCACTGATGTAAGAAGTAAAGACACAGCTTAATTTTGATGGAATATAGTTATGATAGGATCAGTTGGAAAGGTATACCTACATGCATCAGCTCTCCTTCTTTGTGAATATGAAGCCTTCAAGTAAAACCAAGGCTACTCAGTTTAATTGAAGGGCTGAAAGGGAAGTTGATCCATCTTCAAAAATTCTTTTCTTGAGCATGATACAGAGAAATTGAATATTTCTGTGAATGCCAACTTAAAAGTGAGGAAAAGTAAAATGCATAGAGGACCTTTTTTTTTCAACTACCAAAAATTATCATCTTCAACGAAAGGAAAAGGGATCTACGAGTATAAAATGACTATACTTTTTCCCAGCATTTTTTCAGGTAGACCACTTTTCCTTTCAATTCTGGGTGTGGCACATGAACACCAAGGATTAAAATCTATTGATAAATGCATAGGCAATCTATCTTTCTAAAAAAAAAAAAACTTTCACTCAGAAATAAACTGTGACTTTGACTTTTTAAAATAATGAGTACCACACCTGTTGTCCAACAGGTTTTCAGAAAGTGAGCAGGCAGAATGGTAACCAGACAATGAGAACTCAATAGGAGCAGCAATTTAAGCTCATTGGAAGCAGGGTTTTCTTTCTTGCTTACTGTATGCAAAGACATTGAATGAGAAAACACCAAATAATATATGCAAAAGTCTTTGACCAGTCCTAACTGATTTAATATCATCCAAAGTCTAGATTGTAGATTCACAGAGCATCTAGCAAAAACTAAGCTCCTAAATTGTATATGACTGTGAAGCTTAATTCTGAAAAGACATGCAAGTAATAACATTGGGCCACTTTCTACACAGACACTGATGTGCCTCATAATCTGCTTGATAAATTCCTGAATGGACAAAATGAATACCTTGAACAAATTTTACATAAAGAAATTCAGAATCCTTCAAGTGTGATTTAGCAAAGTTTGGCATCATGCTGTAAGGGCTGATATTCATCATCAGTGGGGTTGAGATGTCTATCTCTATCACTAATGTCCATCTGATGATACTTGTCCTATAATGACCTTTGAGGTTGAAAATAGAGGTTGGATATGCCTGCATGCAATTTTTTAAATTGCAAAGTATTTTTTTTAACAAACCAATTTGTGGCAGCTTAAGCCATCCTGTAACAGTCCCCGAGCCAAGAGCCACAAAACTTCAACACTTCGAGGCAAGTGCTAATATTAGGCTGAGGCCCATGGTTAATGCAGGACTATTCACTGCAATGAGTCATAATGTTACAGAATGACTAATGAGCTGATAGAGATAAATCATTCTAGGGCCACTACAGCATGTTTTGCTTAGACTTCAGCTGTATCTAAAGTTTCTAACTTCAGATGTATGGTTAGAAGCAGGCACAAAGACCTATATTGACAGTCCACAAGATAGACCTAAACCGTTGAACCTTAGTTAAATTATGGTTAGCACAAGAAATTCAAATAGGATCTTCGCTGGAATAATCAGAGATGGACTGCAGTTGACTGATGAGAACTAGGTTCATTGACTTCGTTTTGTAAACTATATGCCCATGGGTTTAACTTATTCTCTAAATTGCTTTAAATTTATCCACTTGACTTCGACATGGAGGGCAGACAGTTCCTCCTTAAAACCACCTTTCCACAATATCTTCATCATAAAACGAGAAGTTTTGGGGTCAAACGAAACGTCAAACTCAACTGTGCCTTGACCTACATGATCTGGACTCTTAGATATTTTTCATTTGAGTTTCACAAACATTTGGATGACTAACATTCATATTGGCCTATGACTGCAATGATTCTTGTGAGTTGGAGTCAAGTAGAAAGGTGTCAAACTCAAATGAAGACTTGTAGGACTGTGCTATGACCAAATATCGTCGAGATCTTGGCCTAACGTTAGGTCCAGGCCTGGCCTAGTTTATTTAATAAAGTTACCGTTAGGGCTTATGCTCATCTCCGGGTTTCGGCTAAGGCGTACGATGACAATATACCTAGGTCTAATCACTTAGATGGACCTATTGCTCGATACACACTTCTGAAGGAAAGCAATTTCGGATGCGGGACTTCGACACCACGCGCACCTCTCGACTAAGAGGAGCTGGGGGAGACTGGAGTCTGAACGGCTCGCGGCATGAGTCATGCGGATGAACGGTGAAGCTCCTGCTAGCCTCTGACATCTATGAGATGTTGTATAAGTCTTAAAGTTTGTGCAACTCTCGCACAGATGTCGAGCCGCAACGTTAGCTCTCCGAACTGCGACGTGGTGCTTTAGAATGATGCGGGCTACTATTTGAGAGTTTCTCGAGAAGACCAGGACCCTTCCAAAATCCTTCGTGCTTCTCGTTGGGGACAAGCACACAGATCTAAAAGATCTCGATTAACGTGACGAATTTTCAGGAATGTTGATACTGAATTTTTTGCCTAACGAATGCCAAGTATTGAGCTTTTCCAAACATCTGAAACGCCATTCGAAGGTAACGTGACATTCGAGGCAGTATAATCCAACAAACACCTCGGCATTGCCTCCCACTGGATTCTAGACGAGTGAGCATGCTAGTCTGCTAGCTTTTAATGCATTCGGAGTGCTTGACCTTTTCAAACAAAACCTGGCCAGAGACTTCGGGGGCCGTTCACAAATTATGCAACGTGAGTTTTGAACTTTTTTGACCCCCCTCCCCTCTCCCCTGTAACATTCCGTAACAAAAGCTTCGACCTGCCCAAAAAAAATTACGAGACAAAATATGAAACCCCCCCTCCATAATTTTTTTTTAAATAATGAGATAAATAAACAAGTAAAATGCATTTGAAAAAGAAACTCGTTTATTAAACATTCATAACTAACACTCTGGATTACACACATTGAGAGATGATTACAATTTTAAAAAAAATTAAAGTTTTTTCTTTCATTCGGTTCCTTCTTCAAGGAAATAATTTTCCTTTGCCAGTGTTCATTTTGATTGATGGTGATCACCCATTTGAGGTTTAAAAAAAGAGTAAAAGGAGACGGGGAAATGTAAGGTAGAATGGTGGAAATAGAGATCGCGATGCAGAGAGAGAGAGAGAGAGACGAACAAGGGCAACGTCCAAAGGGTTACTGAGCCTGTTTGGCCTGTGTGTGCAGGTCCAGGCATGAAACTGCGACTTAGCAAGTTTTGTAACAGGGGAGAGGGAA